ATTTGCTAAAATGCTGTGAAAATGGCAATGGCCATTTTCCAAAACATAAAAGCGGCCACCAAGGCTGTAGAGAAACTCAGTAATTTGGCTCTAACTTCTTTGGAGGTCAATTTATCGCCTATTTTTTGTGCTGTTAGACAGATTTAACATAATGTTTACTTTGGATGCATATAACATTTGAGATTAATCCGTTAAAAAATAAAAAAACGACGGAGTTTTAAGATGCATTGTTACTCTTCATTTATTTTGGAATAACACTGGTCTGTATTTGGAGCGACAACAAACTAAATTTTTAGCTTTATTTATACCAAATAAACTTTTAAGAGTATATAGTCAAGATTATAAAGGTTAGGTTTGAGAGTTTACAGTTAAGAGTTTAAAGATTGGGATTAAGAGTTAAGAGTGAAGAGTTTAAAGATTGGGACTGATCGTCACCCTGTGCAAGGGATAAAACCTCCGGACGCCATGAGCCTCCGCTATGAAGACACGAGCCTCCCATATATTTGCTTGGCAGACCGAGCCACCACTACGTAAACTGTGCCTCTGCTATACAGTAAACGAGCCTCCACCAATACAGCACAGCTTTTTCTAAATCTTGGTTTTTATGTGTAATGACAAATTTTAACAATTTTTTTTGACGTAGTGGCATAAGAATTTTACTGAAGTAAGAGTTACTTATTGATTGTCATGATTAGAAACATATATGGACTCTTAAAGTGGTTTATAAGAATTATACTAAAACTTTAAACATTTCTTACACATAAAAGAAGATATTTGGAGAAATATTGTAGCAGGAAAGTGATGTGTTGATCTTTCCTGCGATCATAAATAGTACTTTTTCCCTCCTTCCATCATTCCCAGTTTCTCCCCCCACCCCTTTTTCCATCCTTCATTAAATCTAACGGATTTATTCCTGTTTGTGTTGAATTCTATAAATAACCCAAGCCACCCGGAGAAACCGAAGCCAAGCGCCAAGTTCCGTTATTCCAGAAACCCGGGGGCTGGTGGGCTAGCCGGCCAGCTCACGGGGTACTAGGGTTAAATGCTAGCCCAGGGTGGAGCGAAATCTGGGGAAAAGGAGTTAGTTGATCATCAGCTCCCTTAAATAGAGGTTCCCTTGAAGATTCCCCACCACTCTGAAATAACTTCAATTCATAATCTTTGATTCGTATAGTATCATCTTTTTAGTTTTTGTATCTTTGTAAATAATAAAACTGTAAGAAAAACCGAGTCGTTGAATATTAGTAATACGAGTGATTGCCTTGATTAATTTTCCTTCATATGTAATATGGTGACAAGTTCAAAAATTGGAAGCCCAAATAGCAATACTCGTTTTTAATAATATTCGGCGAAATAGTTTTCTAACATTTCGGCGCACCCTAACCGAAAGCTAGAAAACTATCGGTAAGCTTGCACAGACCACGGCAATGAAAATAGACGCCAACTCATTCTGCAACACAGTTAACTGTTACTTTTCAAATTGTGATCATTTCACTGAATTTCTAAGGTAAAACAACATTATTTTTCTTTTGTTTAATAATTTATAAGTTTATGAGTATGGCGAAAATATTTTCATCAAGCTTTAATATTCGTTTCGACAGATTGATGTAGTTAATTTGACGCGAGTTAAGATAACATGTTAGAAACACAGACGGACAAAATGTTTTTTAAATTCCAATGTCTTATTCAACCGTACTCCATTCTTGTATTCTAGGATGGAGAACAACGTCCCTAAACAACGGGGACCTGGGGGTAGACCTGATTGGTTCCTCAGCTGGCTGAAGGAGGTGTTTTTGCCGGCATCCCTTGACCCATTAGCATCCCAAATTGAGCAGTTTGAGAATGCAGTAGACCAAATCCCAAACATTGATGAGTCGGTTAAAAAGTCGTTAACCACAACCCTGTCCACGGAGGCGAGAATCATATTGCAGAAAGAGGATGACAAGTCAAAGGTGCAGCAGCTGCTTAAAACTCAAACCCTGGCTATTGATGATGCGGTGTCCCCTATGCCATGGAGCCAGTTAACAGAGTCTGAGGCAAAGATCATCTCCAGAGTTGTGGAAAATATTCAGCAACAAGATTTCTCTACAAGATCCCTCAAACACTGGTCTATCCACTTCTCTGACCTGTTTGATAAATTTTTTATTTCAAGCAGGGTGGGCCGCATCGCTGTTATTTATAACAGCTGCTCCACCAGCTTAAAGCAACGTCTCCTGGCGCTAGATGTCGGTAATGAAGCCCAGAAGGACTCCTACTCCTATCTGAGCTTACTGCAACTTATAACCACAGTAGTTCACAGCCCTGTCTCCAAGGACGAAGCCATGATGAATATTTACAAAGGTTTCCGCCAGGCTAGTTCGGAATCAGTTCAATCTTACCTACAGAAAGTACGTGATACGGCCGAGGAGGCCTATGGCCCCAGTTCAGGTTGGACAATGTCACAAGTTTGTGTTGTTGTAATCTTTGATTTAAACAATACCTTTTTTTCGAAGAAATGTTAAGATTTAAATTTATGATACAAATCTTCTAGATTTAAGGGGGGGGGGGCAATTAGACAATTTGTGACACCAAATTTTGTACAGGCTGCGTTTGGTCCTAGTAATTGAGATAGAAGGCTGAAATTTGGCATGACCTCCAAAGTTTGCTGACCTCTGGAGGTCAAAATATGAAATCAATAAAAATAAGTTATGTGAGATAAAATCATAGTTTTTTTTTGTTTTCTGATTCTATTCCAATACCCTTTTTAGACCTCAGATAATCCTAAAGGCATTTGACCTCTAGATATCAATGACCTCCAGAGGTCAACATATGAAATCAATGAAAATAAGTCAAGTGAAGTAATAAAGATTGTTAAAGATTAAATGAAATTAATTCAAATTTTTTTCTAAAAATATTTTTCTTTTCATGAAAAAATGTTTAAAGCTTTATATTATACTTTATTAGTCAACTTAAAACACAAGTTTAAAATAACCTCCTGTATTATACAGGCACATTTGGATTTATTGATCATGCTCTTACTGCATAGCTGAGGTGAGGGAGGGGATGCAAAGCATCCATGACCCTCGCAAACTGCAAAATTAACAGAAAAAATATATTTTTTATATCAAGGGGAGGGGGGAGGCAAATTGGGGGGCATCAGGGGGGGTGGGTGAAATAGGTTCAATGAACATGGAATATGGCGAAATAAAAAATAAAGCATTATTGTTCCATAGTTAGTCAAACATATGACCATGATGATTGACAGCATTGATATAAGCCCTGCAGCAGCAGGTCTTGACCTCACATAACCTATAATTGACCTAAGAAATGGTGCAACCTAAAACGACCTAACCTGACCAAAAATAACCTTAGACTAAGGACACCTTAGGTCGGTGTTGGTCCTCTGACCCTTGACCAAAAATGACCTAAGATTAAAGTCGCCTAAGGTCAATCAAGGACGTTTTGGTTTGTCCGACCTAATTCAGACTTAAGACAACCTAAAGTCTAAAGTTATAGAGTCTAATTTTAATGAGTTTAAGACTTCTTATTTTTTTTCTTAATTTTACAAATTCCTTAACTTGTGCAGGACTATTGTAGCTTTATGCAGTGAAAGTCAAATTTGATATAATTTGATATGTTCATCATGTGCAAATCTATCTAGACTACCAACAATTCACAAAACATTTTAGTTTTGGTGAAAAACCTGAATAATGAAATACATTAAAAGTGCAAATTTAAGTTTTCTTAAAACGATTTTGTTTTGTGAATTGGTGGCATGGTCTTATTAGATTTCGACATCATACACCTGTGTAGATATACAATTTATCTTTCTCTATATATAGTAGTAGCATGAGCTGCTTGGAGACGATTTTTATTGGCTAGGAGACCATTCTGCGCATCAGAAGGCTCAGAAAGTCAGTTTACAGGGCTCATGGATGCTCAGCTAGCTTCCCCTCCCTTCTGAAGCTCGGTCTGCCTAGCAAATCTGAGAGGCTCAGGTCTTCATAGCGGAGGCTCATGTCGTCCGGAGATTCCCTCCCTCCCCGTGCACGGGGGGACAATTGGGAAAGAAGTGGGGAAGGGGTAAAGGGGGATATGGACAAAGGGAGGACATGAGACATAATGAGGAAATAGGATAAAGGGAAGGACATGGAATACAGAGGGACAGGGATACAGTGTGTAGGAGTAGTAGTAAGAACGCAATTATTTGTTTTCATTTACATTTTACAAGCTTTCTGCGCATGAGCAGTTTAACAATACCGGTTCTAGAGCGAATGCCGCCAATTACTTGTAATATCACACCGGTTTCAGTATTTTTACTATTTGGTGACTTTTTGTGAGAACTGGCCTATTTAGTATTATTTTTACATTTTAAATTGTTACTTAATGAGTTAAAAGTGGAGTCGGGTAAAATATATTTTTTTTAATCTTGGATAAAAGCAGACACTTAACTGAAACCGGTGTGATTTTCAGAAGATCTTTGTTTTTAAATATTTCAAGTCCCAATTTTCGACTGGACTATACTCCTAAACATTTAGCCTAAACACCTCGATTTTTAAGTCTCCAGCAAAAGTTAAAATGGAAAGAGAAGCGAGCAAGAAAGCTAGAAACTATCAGGTAATATTTTTTATATCATTTCCTTTGGCTATTATCATAATCTTCTTTTCATATTTCGTGTAGTAAAATTAGGAATTTTTGTGCCAAGTTTACACATCACAAAGTTTTTAAATGTTTCAAAAAAATTATGTCATTAAGGAGATATCTGAAGAGGAGGCTAGCGAGCTTGAGACTGGAAGTGAAGAAGATGAGGAGGGGGAGGAGGAGGAGGAGGGAGAGTTGCCAGAAGAAATCCATCAACNTTAAGATTTAAATAATAATTAATTTTTATTGGAAAGGTGTACTAGACACTACACGGTTCCCTTAATTGTTTGAGATTTTAGGGACGATCTGGAAATCACAGATATTAATTTGAAGATTTGATTTTATTATTCGTGTCTTCCTTTGAATGATTTTACACCGAGATGCCAAATTTTATTAAGTTTTAAAATTTTAACACTTCCTTTTTCTGCAGTTCCATTAACTTAAATATTTTTTGTCTCAATTTTTGTTACTTATATATAATAAAATTTGTAAAAAGTGTAAATTCCTTTATAGAAAGTCACGGAAAGAAAAATAAAAAGAATTTGAATTCTTCATGTGCGCCCTCAATCAGGTAAATAAAAGTTCTCCTGAGTTTAACTATTTTTTTTGTCACATTTGTCCTTATTTTTAAAGAATGAAATGGCTGTAAACCGCAACATGGAATCTAATTATTAATTTACAGACTTGCAATATGAATAATTTTTAAAGATTTTTTTTGCTCTAGGTATTTTTAACTTCTCATCTGGTAATCCCCGAAGTATTTTAATTAAATTCAGTAATCTATAATCAATTATTTTTCCTCTAATATTTGAGAAAATCCGCGAAACCTTAATGTACACGAAACATGGCAAATTCCGTGATTAAATGAAACACACTTTTCTTAGGAAAAAATAGAAACTTTAATTCACGAATCACAAGATTCTGAAATTGCGAGTAAAATTGTGGAATCTCATTTCTTTTAAGTTTTATGAAATGTTGTTTTCTTAGTTACCGATATACTGGGCACTGGAAAGAGAACCATGGACATCCCTTGTTCGGTATCAGTGTAAACCATCATCTTAAACCTCCACAACCTACTGTATTTGCTACAGTAGGATATAACAGGTCATCAGAGTAACATTTTTGTCTGCACCTATAAGGTCTGAGCCAGCGATTTTAAAGATTCTGGAAAAATTCGACTCAAGACTAATTTAAGACCATTAATATTGTATTTTGTGGATTTTCATGAATGGATTTTGCGGATTTTGAGATTTTATTTGAATAGAACCCAGTAAAAAAACTTTCGTTCGCCAGCTGATTCTTAAGTCATTCCTAAGATGAGGCCCTAAATTGAGGTTCAAGGATTTAAGACAAGAGCCGAGCTTTTAAATCGTGGACTCTAATTGCGTATTTCAAGTAACCCATAATTTTAAAGAGCTCTAAGTTCGATTAACAATGTTACTCTTTTAAACCTTTATCCAAGTAAAGTATTAATGGGGTAGATTTAATATTCTTCCTTGTCTGTGTTGCGTGAATGCAGGGTTGGGATAAAAAACCTAGCCCAAAAAACGCCCAAAAAAACTCAATAAAACCCACTTTAAAAAACCCGCCTGTAAGTGGGCTTTTTTGGGTTTTGAGTCTATTTTAAAAGGGTAAATAGACACATCTCTAGTTGTTATATCTGTGATAAAAATAAAATGTTCATACTTAATTTTTTGAGTGTTGGCATTTTTGATATTTGTTTCCAATGGGACAGTAAGCTCAAAAATATCCATCTTTTCCTCCATTCTATCGATAATTACCTCTCCCTGGAAGGGTTTGGGATGGGTATATTATTAGCTAAATATTTATTACTGTTTAGAGTAACAATCTACGAAGCTATTTCTGATGGTATAAAACTGAGCCAGTGTTATGCTGATCCAGATACTGAAGAAAACTTTTATACCTGTGCCTGGAGCTATGATAATGATACAGGTCCTTATATGTTATCCACTAGTTCTATATCTGTGTCTGGAGCTATGATAAAGATACAGGTCCTTATATTATATCTACTAGTTTTATATCTGTGCCTGGAGCTATGATAAAGATACAGGTCCTTATATTATATCTACTAGTTTTATATCTGTGCCTGGAGCTATGATAAAGATACAGATTCTTATATGTTATCTACTAGTTTTATATCTGTGCCAGGAGCTATGATAAAGATACAGGTCCTTATATTTTATTTACTAGTTTTATATCTGTGCCTGGAGCTATTAAAAAGATACAGGTCCTAATATTTTATTTACTAGTTTTATATCTCTGTCTGGACCTATGATAAAGATGCAGGTCCTTATATTTTATCTACTAGTTTTATATCTGTGTCTGGACCTATGATAAAGATACAGGTCCTTATATTTTATCTACTAGTTTTATATCTGTGCCTGGAGCTATGATAAAGATGCAAGTCCTTATGTTATCCACTAAAGTTTTATTGCTGTATCTGTATCTATGATGATGCTGCAGGTCCTTATATTAATTTACTAGTTTTATATCTGTGGCTGTATCTATGATAATGATACAGGTCCTCATATTCGTATCTACTAGTTTTATACCTGTGCCTGTAGCTAGGATATAGAATATATTCTTATCTACTAGTTTTGTAAAATACACCTAGCATTTTAAATAAAAAGTCTAACGTCCGGTGTAAATTATTGTTTAACATATATTTATTGTAAAATTTGGAGTTGTGGGCATTGAATTTTTATTTTCAATACTCGTTACCAGGGGTTTATATTCTTACTTTTTTTTAAAGGTAATCTGACAAAATGTCGAATTTCCATAATAATCAAGCCGATATCTACTATAGCCGAAGTTAGATTGATTCAATTTTTTTTACAAAACATCTAATTGGCTTTATCTGTGAGTTGTAAATTTTCTTATTTCAATCCCAGCTTAGTTCAGTCATGGTGGACTTGAGATGATGTTATAGGTGGTCCCTAAAAGTCTGATTGATTGAGTGATTGATAATTCATTTGGGGGAATACAATTATATTCAGGAAGGGGGAGGGGGTAGGGTTCAAGAAAATATATACTCCTATTTACTTTTCTTCAGATCGCCCCATTCTGGCTGCTGGAGGATTTAGAGGAATCATTCGTGTCTTCAGTCCTGCCAGTATGAACTGCATCAAGTAATTTCTTTTTGGATAAGTTTTACGATCATTGCTTAGGATCCGGTTAAGCATCATATTAGCTTATTGGATTCGGATACTCAGAATATGTGGATCCATGAATTAAAATCCAACTGACTGAAAGTCAACCAAAGCAAAAGTAATGAACTCTCAAATTAAAAATTGAAAATTATAATCCAACTAATGAGAGATTAATTCAAGTATTAGCATTAAAATGTTGAAAAAATTAAAGGAATTTTTGAAAATTCTCCTTAATGGAAATACTTCCGAGATTGAGTCCCTAAGTACCGACATTAGATACAAAGAATTTGGTCGAAATCAAGTGGGAGTAATTTAAATATTGAAAGATTAAATTCAGTTTATACGAAAAAAATTGTCTTTTTGTCATAAAGGTTAGAATTAGTGTTCGTATCATTTGAACAAAAATGGTTGTAAATTCCTATTGGAACAAAGACCAATTATTAATGGTTTATATTTCTCTGGGTCAGGGTTCATCCTAGATATTTTCCTAAATTGTTAGATTTTCTTCCAAAACTTGGGATATCCCCTTTACAGTTGTAGATTTGTTCCAAATTTAAAATTGCAGTTAGCCTGGCCTAATTGTTTCTCGAATGAACACTGTTCTAAATTTGACAGTTTTTATTTTCAGGCACTTTATAGGTCTATTGACTCCACTTTTAACAAGAATTTAAATTTTAAGGGACATGATATCCTGCGTGTACTTTCTTTGATAAACTGCTATTTTTTCTGGCAACTCATCATTATTAATAAATTGTTAAGGCTGTGGAACGTGAAGACCGAGGTAAACCTGGTAATATTCGGTGGTGTTGAAGGACATAGAGACGAGGTCCTCAGTGCAGATTTTAATATGGACGGTAGGGATACTCAGGATTGTCGAAAAATGTACATTTTTATCGAGGGGGGGGGGGTTAACATTTGCTGGAAATGTGAGTTATTGCGAATGATTTTTGGTGCCTTTTAGAGAAAAAATTGTGTTCCATAAGAGGATGGGGGCTAACTGGGCCCAGCCATTATTGCCTTCACTCTTTTATATGTTAGGCTGAATTTTTGTCTGTTTGTGAGTCCTATCGTAACTTAGGAGCCCCTTAACCGATTTTCCTCAAATTTTAGAAGAACTCGGTAGAATCGCGGGAATGTTCTTAATCTTAGCTCGGTTTTAACGTTACAAGTTAAGAAGGTTGACTTTATAACTAAAGTTAAGAATTCCAGGCAAAGTTGGGTTCCAAAATTAGCCAAACCCCCCCAAAAACTTTCAAAAATGTTTCAGGAAGCCGGATTATATCCTCCGGAATGGATCACAGCTTGAAGATCTGGAGATGTGATACGGAAAAAATTAAACAAGGAAACAGCATTTTTAGATATTACCCTTTTGTAATCTGCAATCCTCCTCTCCCCTCCCCCTCTCTTTTCTTTCAAAAACTTATTTAGATGGTGTTTCTTGTTTATTTAACATAGGAACTTTTTAGGCCGAGATTCATTTTATATTTTAGGAATGTCCCCCGGCCCCAAATTTTAAGTTTTTTTAGAATGTTGACTGTAATTTTTTTAATATTTTTCTGTCTGATTTTTACTTTTGGGGAAAAATAATAGTTTTGGGGGAAAAGTAACAATCAGAGGTAAAATCTTACTTCTATTACTTTTTGTACATTTTTTTAGAATCTTCACTGAATGACAGGTTCTTGAATAATAATAATAATACTAATAATGATAAAAACTGTTGTATTATACAGCAATCAATCAGTCCTATACATTTGGTACAAAAAGGATCTTTCCCACGGAGCTCTGCCATTTTCCTTACTTTAGCACACGAGACATACACAGGTAAACAAGTGAGAAATTTTCCCTGACATGTTCACCCCCTTCCCCTTCAACATCCTAGTTCAGAAAAATCATGTGTTTTCCCCAGAAGTTATAATATACGGTTGCGCGGAACGCAAACATTTTCTACACGGGTTTTTCGCTAAATTAGGGAAAATAAATGATTTTTGGGTAAAAAGTAAGTGAAAAATATACACATATGTTTTTTATGTTTTATGGTTGGCTTTAATGTTGTAATTGGTAGTTAAAGTGTAAATTAAATCATAAGTTAAACCCATATGTTGATATATTAATCAATCAACCCCTCAATCAATCAATCATTGATTAATCAAGCAATTAAGAAATAAAGAATGTTGAAAAATTTGAATTTTAAATGAAATTTATTCATGTTAAATTGAGGTAAAAATGAGAATGAAACTAAAATATTATGTTATGACTAACACATGCATGGCTAAACGGATCCAAGCAATTAAACTCAAATTTTGATGCATTTTTATTTAACGATTTCTTTTTTAGAAACTATGTTGACTGTTGTAAGTGGATGGGTGAATTTATTCTGTCTAAAAGCTGTGAAAACTGTATTGTATTTTGGAAACCAGGTGAGAATAGTTAAAGGGACAGTTCGCGAAGATCTAAAAGGGGTGCTGGGTTAAAAATTAATATTTCTAATGTTTTTCTAAGAGGTTTTGACATAATCCTGCAGACTTAATAATTTCTATTAAATTTGTGCGAAACTTGTGTTGTTTGTTCACTTAAAATAGAAATCTTGGTTAAAGGGGCTGTAAGCCTAATTTCTAGTGACCCTCCTGGTAATGTCTGATTCACAACGATACCCTGCAAAGCCTAAACTGGTCAAGATACTGTCATTTTTCTGACTCGAAAAGTGATTCACTCTGATAATTTCTCCATTGTTTCTTTGAAGAAAGAAATGTGCAAGTCATTTTTGCGAAAAACCACAAATGAAAATAAACTAAACTATAAAAAAATAATTTCATACTTGATCAGACAAAGGATTTTAGGGTAACGTTGTAAATCTGTCATTGCCATCTGTGCATGCATGATCACTTGAAATTGCCGATCTAAATGAAAATCAGTAAATAATTTTTCTCTTTATTTAAATTTTTATTATTTTACCCATTAGCACTCATTTTTCTAGTTAAAAGTATTGCAGTATTGCAGTAGTATTAGTTTTTTTCCTCAAATTTAAATATGTTTAAATTGATTTCTGCGAAACCCTTTAGTCTGCTTTTGGTGTATTATATTTTTAAAAGTAAATTTCATCAATTTTTATTGATCTTGGATTGAGTAAAATTCCTTGAATTCTAGAATATTTAAAATTAAAAGACTTTTCTTGTTTTTCACAAGCTTGCCAGTTTTCCACTTTGTCTAGTGATATTTTTTTCTTATGTAAAATTAATTTTTTAAGAGTTTAAATTTTCAATTCTGATCATTCTTACACCTTAAACCTTCCACAATAGATTGGGCCTATTCGGACTCGGTTCAGCCGTTTTTACATTTATTATACACAGACAAACAGATACACGGACCGACAATAAAAATCTTGGATGCTGTGCTTAGGATAGGGATCAATTTTGGCTTCCTGTATCCGGATCCGCAAAAATATGCGGATCGGATCCAATGGACAAAATATCAACCAAAAACTGCTAACAACATCTTTTGCTCTCAAAATCTAAATCTTAACTGCTGAAAAAAAGAAAGATTATCAAAATTTTCCCCATCTCTTGAATATTTCATCAAGCTAGACATAAAAAGACGAAATAAAGTAGAAAAATAATTTGAAAATTTGTTTTTTGTTTGTTCATGACCTGGATCCGGATTCGGATCTGGATCCAGAACTTTTTAATCCGAATCCGCATCAAAAATGAATGGATCCTAAGCACAGCTGTTTTGAATGATGTTGTTTAGACCAGGAGACGAGTAAAGAGGAAACCAAGGAGATAATCAGCACAAACCTAAACAATACTGAGAACAAGGTCGTCGTTGTTCATAAAATTGGATACAAGGTAACAGAAGGGATATATATTTGGTTTAAAATATACGGGTTTTCATCCTTGAATTTAAGAAATAAATGATTATAATTGTTTTTCTGATCGAGTGTGAATTAGACATCAATAAATAAATGAATTAAGATCATTCATTATTCCGTGGAAATCAATGCTTTTGTTTTTCGTTTTCAGTTGCGGCTTCCATGTGAAAGTTATTTTCGCATTTATTGTTTATTAAAAGTAGAAACTCACAGAAATATACACTTTTCGAGTCAGAAAATACGACGTTTTTTCACGTTTTTGATCAGAAATTGCACTTGAAATTACGACGAATACGCTATCAGTCCATTTAACCTATCAAATTTCGATTATTCCTAGCAAATTTATCTTTATTGAACGACAAACCCAACTTCTTTTGGATGAAATGAAAGGTTCGAAAAAGCTATTTGACACTTTGGGGTGAGTTGTGTTTAAATTCTAGTTTAGAGTATCCTGCCCGGGCCTCCCGTAAATGAAATCCCCTACCCTAGAGAGATGCTAAATTAAAATCAGAAAACCAGGTCCCAGTCCAGCTAAGTTTGAGAGGTGTTATGTCATCAAGTTGTAAAGTTGCACAAATGGTTCTATCCCGGGCAAATCGCCATGCGGTGAATCTCCTCCCGTGATAATGTGGTGCATTATCAGTATCCATGGATAGGTTTGGTGGACAGGAGCGTCGGTCCCAATTTCATCGAATGATCTTTGAATAATAATAATAAAGATTGTGATAGCGGTAGCAAGAGCAAGGGCAAGAGCAGGAGTCTAAACATTTTATTTGCAGGATTGTGAGATCTGGTTCGTAAGGTTTGCAATGGATCTGGAGCAGAAGGTGCTAGCTCTAGGAAACCAGGTATATTAGGACTTAACCCTATTTTGATTGGGCTATTTTTGTCTAATATAGATTGTAAGGAGAGGGTGTTTCCCCCCTATGATTTTGCCCTTAGATTTAAGATAGGGGTGTGTGAAACATGTCGCTGGTCCAACTTTTCAAGGCCTGTTCATTAATAAAAATTATACCTCTAACTTTAATGCAGTGCTTAGGATTCATTTAAATTTGATGCGGATCCGGATCCGGTTCCTGGATCCGTATTGAAAAAAATGGATCCGGATCCAGGTAATTTCAGAAATGGTTCATCAGTTTTTCAGTTTTTGGTTGATATTTTACCCCTTGGATTCGGATCCATGGATCCTCATATTTTTGCGGATCCTAAGCACTGCTTTAATGGTTATGGTGTAAGGGAGGATTTTCAAAAAGTTCAAAAAGTATGTCGCAAAAAAATTTAAAAAATAGTTATTTTTACTTTTGACAAATATTAGCATATGACGCATGTTATTGTATCCATTTATCAAGGACTTTTCAAATATATAAGTCTTAGCCCTGTAGCTTGATTAACAAAAAGGTTATTAACCATTTCTGATTTTTTTAACACCGACCCACCGTTTGCCCATTCTCCACCCTACCCTATGCATAAAAAAAAAATTTAGCAAAATTGTTTACAACTATGATATTGAAAAAGTGAAGAAGTTTTAGCGATCTAATGTAAGCCATTATTAAGTTATTCAGAAGAAGCCACGGGGGGAAACACCCCTCCCCCTGTCGTGATAGGGTTAAATGAACTGATTACTCCCCTGGCCTTTGATCCTGCCACGCCTCCTGGTGGTATCTCTCCATTATGAGTTTTTTTCTTGGGGGGGATGGTGACTTTTGTGTGCTAAACCCGTGGGTTTTTAGCTATAACCTCCTATTCAGATTCTTGCAACTCTATATTTGCAACCTGATGGAGTAAACCTTGGATATTTCAAATTTTAAGATTTGAAATATCTAAAGTTTACACCATTATTAGGCTGCAAGGTATGAGGATTAGAAATTTTTAAGCTTGTATTTTATAACTTTCAAAGCGTGCAGTTATTTTTTATAATCTTTATCTACTATTATTTACTTGTGTGGTTTTCCGTTTGTATCCAATTAACGTCAAAACGGCTGAACCGATCGGGCCCAGATTTTTTGTGGGACCTCACGTGAACCAAAGGAAAGGTTTATGGAAAAGCGAATTTTCGATTTTGTCTCTTTACAAAATTAGATTTTTGAAAGTTTTGAAAATCCACGAAATTTTTTTTAATCCGCGAAATTTTTTTCTTACAATGTATACAAAGAGAAAATGTTCACAATTAAAATTAGAAAGTCCAATATTAAATTATTCCAGAATTTTTGAATGGACCATGCTGTATCTAGAATATTTTTGAATGAATCATGATGTATCTAGAATATTTTTGAATGAATCATGCATGTATCTAGAATATTTTTGAATGAATCATGCTGTATCTAGAATATTTTAGAATAGATCATGCTGTATCTAGAATATTTTTGAATGGATTATGCAGTATCTAGAATATTTTAAAATGGATAATGCAGTATCTAAAATATTTTTGAATTATGCAGTATCTAGAATATTTTAGAATGGATTATGCAGTATCTAGAATATTTTAGAATGGATTATGCAGTATCTAGAATATTTTAGAATGGATAATGCAGTATCTAGAATATTTTTGAATGGATTATGATGCAGTATCTATAATATATTATTTAAGGTCGGGAAAACGTATGTTTGGGATTTAGATGTAAACCAACCCTCTCAAATCAGGTAGAAAAACATGGTATTAAAAAATATTATTTAATGCACAATTGTGTTTTGTCGGGTTTTAAGAAATAACATTCGCAGGTCCTTTAACGTTTAATATTTTCGGTTCAGGAGCGCCGTTCTTTCTCATCCAAAGTGCACTTCGGCTGTTAGACAAACCTCACTTTCTAGGTAGGAACTATTTGGGTTTTTACACGTTTTTTTATTTTCAAGAAAGTTTAAGAATTGTTTTTAAGATTTAATTTTAAAAATAAAATCACTTTGCCCCCATATTGGCCTCACATTGAACTCACATTGGCATTACATTTGCATCACATTGAACTCACATTGGCCACTCGTTGACCACACATTGATTACACATTTACCCCCAACAATAGTCACACATCAACCACACTTTGACCCCACATTGAACTCGCATCAACGGCCTCACATTGAACTCACATTGGCCTCACATTGGACTCACATTGGCCTAACATTGAACTCACATTGGCCACTAGTTAACCACACATGGAGCACACATTTACCACACATTTACCCCACATTAAACCCACATTTACCTACAAAAATGGCCATACATCAACCACACTTTGACCCCACATTAACGTTAGCCAAAATTGGCCAAATTTTGACCGTCTACGTTGTCCAAAAATGACCCCACATTGACCATGCAGAGTGTTAAACAATTTGTTCTATGTTGTAGGGACGGAAGTATTCTTCTATCTGTGTGTGATGATGGCACTGTTTGGAGGTGAGTTAAACAATTTCTCATTTCATTTTTTGAAATCATTAAAAAGTGCATTTTTAGGTTTTAGTCAAATGTAACTATAGTTTCAAAGCTTTCTTCAATATTTTTATTTCTCGTTTTTAATATATTTTTTTAACCGTAAAAGTTTATTTTTTCAATAGTCATTTGCGCGACGGTTCAAAAATATAGCGAATAAACTGAATAAACTGAACAAACTGAATAAACCGAATAAACCGAATAAACCGAATAAACTGAATAAACCGAATAAACTGAATAAACCGAATAAACCGAATAAACCGAATAAACCGAATAAACCGAATAAACCGAATAAACCGAATAAACCGAATAAACCGAATAAACCGAATAAACTGTAATAATAATTTCAGGTGGGATAAAAATTGACGAAATGAAAGTGTGGATTAACAAGAATACAATATCCTGACAAACCTAAACTAAGAAGACTGATCAACACCTCTGCCATATTAACAAGGGAACAATAAACAAGACTGCCATTTTTTTACTTCGTGTACAGTGGTACCCAGAAATCAGTGAACTGACTGATTGTCGTCTTCTTTCTTTTGTGTAACGAAAATTCGCTAAGGAGTTTGTAATTTGTAATTGATTCAAATCTTAGATTGTGCTCATTTGCAGAAATGTATCTGTTACAACAATTACAAAGTACAAAAATCTTAACAAACGTGATATATTATGGGTACTTATATACAGGGCTACCCACAATGAATCAAATAGATTCTAGTACAATAGATAGTACAGCTGCATTCTGACGTCACAAGTGTCAACTTAGTTTTTGTGTCCGACAAAATTATCAATAATTTTGATAATTTTAGAATAAAGTGCTTGTCTTACAGTAATATAAGTGCAATTTTATGTGGTTTTATTTAAGAAAACATGACAACTAATGTGAGAAAATTTCGTTTTCCTTGTTATAATTGACACTTGTGACGTCGTGTATAAAAAGGTCCATTTCTCTGTTGCCAACTATTGTACTTGATAATCTATTTGAAATAAATGAGTCTTTAGAGACGACTGTACAAATTTCATTGAAACAATTTATGATTTAAGGTTCCCTGCAGTTTTAGTCATGGTTCTTTCTTTGTCAAAGAGTTAATTTATTTAAAAAAACATCATCTGGCTCAACGAGTTTTGGTCGTCATTCATGTCGCATTCTTTTTGGGTCAACCCTGAAATCCTGTGTAAATCGTTGAGTTCAAAACAAATTCTAATCCATTTTGTGTCACCTGTAAAATTATAGGTTTAAATAGTCATGAATCTTCGTTTGCACAATTTAATGATTCGGTCCGTTTATTATCTTTTATTGGGTCACTTCTTATTGTTAAACATTTAGTGCACTTTGAATTATATAAAGTTTTTAATAACACATTTCTGCTCAATTATGTTTAAGAAACATTTACCCTTTATTAGTCGATAAAACTACTTCTTTTTCTCTTTGTTCTATATTTATAGAATCCGGACCTTTAAAAACTCTTAAAAACCATGACGTGTGTCAGCCTAATTTTACTTCTTTTTGCTTGCAGAAAGCAGTGTTGGGTTTTTATATCTTTAAAAAAAATTTATTCATATTCAGAGTAATGTCTAATTTTTATTTAAATACATCTAAAAAAATCTTTTTAATTTCCCCCAACGAATTTTTCATCTTATAAGCAATTCTGATTATTGTAATTTCTTTTTTTTGGGGACACCCTGTATACCTTCTGCTTGTCACCGTTTTGTTTTGTACACCGCTAATTATTTACCAACGTGTGATCTCAATATGTTCCTTATTCAGAAATAAATCTTGTAATATCAGAATTATTGATCTAAATATGTTAAAGGAGGGAAAAAGATCTCTTTTACGCAAATTCCGAGTTATACAAATCTTTATTAAAACAATGAATCAAGAATATATAATCAATCTTAAAACTTAAACTAACTACAACACAGATATTATTGGCAATGTCCTTGCTTTTTCATGAACATAATCATCGAACTAATATACTAGATACAGGAAAAGGGGGTAATAAAGGGACTGTACGCAAAATATGAAATAAAACTTGCATACCCTAGATCAAAGCAGTAGAATCCACGAATTACAAAAAGTCCTTTGTACGTACTTTACACACTGTTTCGATATGGTTCAGGGGGTTTATAAAGACTTGGGACACGGGGGGGGGGGCGCAAATATTGAAAGGGAGGGGCGGTCTGCCTAGGTAGAGAGGCTAATTACCCCTGGAATACCCCTGAGGTTATCTTTTTGATGTCATGCTTCACAATTTTCCCCCCTATCCCGTGGTATATGGTGCAACTTTTACTTTTTAGAATAAGGAATAATTGGACAAATACACATGTTTGGCAACCTGATTCCCAGGTTGAATTAACATCATTAATTTTCAACTGATGTGTTTTCCTGCGTCATCTTACGCAATATTTTCACTTAGTAATTCACTGAGATTATTAATCTGAGCCACGTTGATGTCATTTTATTCATTTACCTACTCATCCTGATCTTCCGTTTCCTCGTCAGTTGGGTCTTTATCGCATATGGTTCCAATATCCGATATGATTCCTTCGTCAGTATCACTATCACTCTCCCCGCTTTCCTCTAGTTCCATTTCATCCTCCTGCTGACCATTAACCGGCTGAAAAAGTAATATAAAGTTAGAAATATGTCTAAATACATAAATGTAATGCAAAAAAAACCGTTCCAAACTAACGTGTTGCAACGTGTTTTTAGGGTTAGATAATTGCAAAGTTTTATAAAAGCAAACTTTAACATAACACAGTTTTAAAACTTTAGAAGTTTGACTGAATTTTATTTAAAAACGATTCAAAACGATTGACAACACTACCCAAAGTGGGAGTAGGTTGGGTGAAGGAGACGAGGTTTATACTGTTGGAACTCTGAACTCGTTAAGAGTAATGATGGACAATCAATAATTCTTGGTTCCTTTCCTAAACCTTTGTCTTTAAACTGTTCCATAAGAATCACAATTTTGAAAATTATTACCTACGTTTGCTTTTATTACTAATTTCAACCCTGAAAGAAGGTATGTAAAGGTATGGGAATTCAGTGACGAATTCTATATCGTCTTTTTAAATAATTCTTCGATTTAGTATAGTGAAACCTAATGAGAAAGCTGTAATCTGTAAGAGTTTCGTCTGCTGTGTTCACATTTTGTTTGTTTATGTTTTGACTGCATACGGTTGTACTTAGTAAAACAAGAAAATTGCAGGATACATACAGAGAAAACTGTCCGTCTTAATCAATCCAATGTATGATGTGGGACGCCATCTACAAACAGGGTTACCCACAAAGAATGAGACTGTAAAGACGACCGGAACTCTTAAAATGTGACGCTCCGAAGGTTAAATTAAGTCTTCTGTCTTAGATATAATAATCTAATGGTTTTTAAATGATAATTAACAAATCTCAAACGGAAACAGACAGTATAAATTCCGTTTAATGTCTCTGAAGTCTCATCCTTTTTGGGTAACCATGTTGTTCAGTGGAAAACCTAGTTCTTATGAATCAGTATTTTTCGGTGCCTTTTATAAAAACCAAAACTTGAAAAAGTTGAAGATTAGTTGTAAAGCTGACAATGCAAAGTATATAAACATGCTACAGGGTCAAAAAATATGGTAATTTTAGAGACGTCTTTTTACCGATTATTTTTCTAGTGTAATGGTACAGGGTTGCCCACAAAGGATGAGACTGTAAAGACAAAACTGAAATTACTTAAAATATAATGATTACATGGTTAAATTAAATCTTTTGTCTTGACCATTGACTTTTAAAGGCTTATCTTATGATTTGGCATGTTGGCAACGAAAAACGTCTGTTTAAAGTTACAAGGAATTAAAATATATAAATAGAATTCTGTAGTCGTCCCTGAAGTCTCATCCTTCATGGGTCACCCTGTACCTACTGAAAAAAAGTGTTGCAATCGTGTTAATAATTTTTTTGTAAATGAGAGTTCATCGAGTACTGTTGTCATAAAGTTGATACAGAAAAGCTAGGTTTTCAGGGAGGGGAGGAAAGCCTACCACAACGATTTCTCATCCGAGCTACATTCTTATTTTCTCGTCCGAGCCACCTCAAAATCCTCGTCCTTTCAATATTATTTGTTATAAGCGTCAGTCCAATCCTTGAAGATTAACAAATTTTTTAAAATCCAATATAATAGTTTTAATTTAAGTTTTGAAGTTCTATGTCCTAACATTTTTCCCGGTGGTTCCATGGGAAATATTAAAGGCAGAGGTATGACAAATAGCAATTGCTTTAACATCGTGAAGGTCAGCCATCTACAATTGTGTTATGATTCGTCAAAAGAATTCCAACAATCCCACCATCACCAGTAATTAAAAAATGCTAGCAATAGATCTGAAACTTTCCTATTTATTTCCTGTTTTTTGATTTGGGAGGCAGTATTACACTGCCTCTATTTTTGGAGATCTTTTAATTTATCCTCCTAAAACAATTAATTTTGTTTCGTTTTTTTTGCTTTATTTTCATAAAAATTTACTTACTAAGAACCTAACCTAGGATAAGCCGAGATAGCCAGTGAGTTCTCTCATCCGAAAAAAAACTTAATTAACATTGTTTATTTATGTAGAAAAAAGCTTTATTACATGCGACACCCTGATATCAACACTGTACATGATGCGCTTTATTGAGTACAGTTCATTGTTCACTGTACACAGTACACAGTACATAGATGTTTAGAAAACAGTGTAAGTACAATACAGAGATGTTTTATATATCAACAAAATAAAACAGGTTTTGAAGTCCGGGCATTAATTTCAAGTCACCCTTAATAGATTTTTTTTTATATTACATAGAAAATGTTTATCTCCAAAAGTGTAAAATGACATTTTTAAACAAAAAATTTAAATAAGTTGTTTTTAATCTATTCTCCTTTTTTTCATCGTTAATTCAAGATAATGTCTCACAGTTTTCAAGAAAAGAGATATAATTTAATATTTTTAGAATTTATTCTTTCTATGGAACATTGTCTTTGTCTCAAAAATCATTAGCTTAATAAAANAAAACCGTCGCATTTGGAGGTAAAATAAAAATGGCATTGGAGCTTCAGGGATATTAAATAATTATATTTAAATACTGGGATATTATTTCCAATCACATTGTAAATATTTTCAAAAGAATGTTAACGTTTCTACATTTTCCAAGGGAAGGGGGTTTAGAAATGAACACCCGACTACAATATACAGTTCACCAAATAGGACTTCATACAGTTGAAAACGAAGAAGCAACCGAGAGAAATTATTACTAAACCGGGACAATTTCTTTTTTTTTATTTAAATCTTAACTGTAAATCTATATTTGCATAGGCCTAGAAATCCTTCTAGTCTGGCGAACTATATCTACTGCATCTAGTAGAACATATAAATATTAGTTACAATGATAGAAATTTATAAAACCTCTAATTCCAAAGGTGTTAGTATATGGAAAGAATTCATAGAAATAAATTAAATATGAGAACGCACATGGAAAACAAGAGGAACTGGTAAAATATAAATGATTAACATGTCTTATTAAGCCAAATGCAAAGGTGTACTTATTAAAGGGACTGTAAGCGTAATATCAAGTAACCTTCCATGCAAAGATGACGATGCCCGATTTACAACGATGCCCTTAAATAAATTGCATGTTTTAGTTCATTAATCTGTCCATTTTCATTTTACTCCTTTGCGAAAGTGACAAGCACAAATTCTTCATTATAAAAATAAATGGAGAAATTCACGGGAATAAACACTGCCACTGCCACATTTTTGTTAAGACTAAGGGAAGTGTACCGTTGTAAATCAGGCATTGCTATCTTTGTCTGAAGGGACCTTAAAATTAGGCTAACAGTACCATTAAAGCAACATTGGAATTTTACAAATTTATAGTTTTCAAGATTTATCTTGATTATACATAAACAAAAGCATGGAAAAACATTTAATTTTCATATAAGATTGACATTTTTAGTTGCTTGATAGTAGGTTAAAAGGAATTTTTAACGTAATTTTAAGTCTCAACAATTAAGACCAGGAACTATTATCTCTTTATTTGAGAACCGATGACATAAAATTAGAGAAATCTTACTGGTTTGCTGTGTTTACTGCTGAGCAATAAAAAATTTTTTTTCGTGAATTTCATGATTATTAGTTAGAAAATATAATAGTACCTCTTCTTATGTCCTTTTCCTTAAAATTACTTAAAGATCCTTAATTAAAGACTTAGATATTGATAGTTTTTTGTGCTTCATTTTAAGTTGATGCAATGCAACCTGTACCTAACGCACATGCAGGAAGACAGCTAGGTGTAGACTGTACGATTGTACGATTTATTTAGTGTGCTATAATACTGATTTTTAGTTAAATCATTTTCTAGTGATTTTTTTAAAAAATAATTTGCATAGCAAGGGATCAAAGAAGCGTCTATGAACATCTTATTGAAATTATTTGTACTTGAATAGAAGGCATTTCTAAAGGCAAAATTGTGATAAATTATTATAATGTTTTAAAAAGCCACTTACTTCACAATGTAACAAGACATGCAGAACGTTCACATTAACTATTTGTGTTACAAGTTAAAATGGGTTAGCACTAGAGGGGGGGGGGGGCATATTTAAAAATAGTTCATAACCTTGACATTAATTAATTATTTAACCCCTATGGACTAAAATATAGCTGCACTGTATAACTATAAATCTATCGTCTACTTGCTAAGAGATTCAGAAATATGTAAAAATAAAAATAAGGTTTTGTTTAACAAAACCAGTGGTCTTTGTTGATTTTCATCGATTTTCCCCAAAAATCATGTTTTAACCCTATAAAACATAAATTTTAAAGAAAATATACACCCCTGGAATTATCCTCAAAAGCAAAATATAAATGATACCTATAAATGGACCTTATTTTCAGGGGAATTAATGATGAAATTCCCTCCCCACATTATTTGTTGTGAAATTAAAACAACTGCTTAAGGCATGATTTCATTCCCCGAAAGTGAGACAAAATTGAAATAAAATTTGGCACATAGAAAGCGAACACTAAAAACAACTTTAATGCAAATTTGAATATTCTTTTCTTGGTTAAATAAGTTTATACAGTTTTTACAGTTTAAGGCGTAAAACACAAAATTTATAAAAAAAAATTGCGACAAACCACCTAGAAGCAACAATAGAAAACCCAAGCTTAAACGGATTATCATCTTAATTCAAAGCAACTTTAAAAATTTCTAATGACGATTCTCAAAAATGTTGAAATTTTTTTATAAGCCTTTAACAACCCCCGGCCACCCCTGAGTGTCCAAAAAAAAATTTCAGCCCAATCGGTCCAGCCGTTTGGCCGGCTATAGACATCATATTTATATACGAATGTCTTGTTTTATTATGTAGATTAACACAAAATGTTTTAAGATTTTGAAATCCAGAAAATCAAATGGCGAACTCCCCCTCAGGAGCGATCTTGAAGCGTTTAAAAAATTAGTAGCCTAGGTTTCTATGAATACAGGGGGACGAAGTTAAGGAGTTAAGGAGTAGTTAAAAACTAGATTTTAATCTGCTTCAGTATTTATGTTCATATTTTTCATTTCTTTTTTTAATCCTTATGCAATAAGAAGATGGTTGATAATTCGTTTGTTGTTGACAAAAATATGTAATTTATTCATTACTTCTGGTTTAGAATTGGATTCATTCTGTGAACAAGTTTTCAAAACAGGATGTGTTTAATTTGATCAATTTAATTGATTCGGAGCTTTCTTTCACAACTAACAAAACTCATAACATAGTTCACTCTTGTTTCCTTTTTCATATTTTGTCACTTTTTGGTCACTTCACCAGTCCTAAGGTGGCACTCACTTCAAGGTTATAATTTCATTTGCTTGGTTTCATGCTAAATTTAGTTCTGCTGGCTTTTCCTCTTTTCTTCAACTACCCGCCCCTCCTGAAATATAATTAAGTTAAGGGGGTTATACTCAGTGCTTAGGATCCATTTAAATTTGATGCGGATCCGGATCCTGGATCCGCATTGAAAAAAATGGATCTTGATTCAGGTCATTTCCTTAAGATTTACTGAATTTTTTTAACAAAAAAAATAATTTTCAAATTTTTTGTTTCATTTTTTTCGCTTATTTTTATCCTAAAACTTGATGAACCATTCAGAAATGAGGAAATTTTTATAATCAGATTTGGGTTTTAGGAGTAAAAAAGTTTTTTTGTAATTTTTGGTTGATATTTTACCCATTGGATCCGGATCCGTTGATCCGCATCCAGGAAGCCAAAATCTTGCGGATCCAACGGATACGGATCCGGATCGGGATCCTAAGCACTGACTTAAAGAATCCGGACTGGGTGGTGGTTTGGGGCGATTCCGTAGATTTCAGAGAAACAAAATAAATAAGATTGGGATTTTCCCTATTCTTGATACATTTACCCCCCCAAAATTTGAAAATGCTTCCCTCTTTCCAAAATCAACAATACAAACATGGAAAGTCATGGCATGGGGAGTGGGTGATTTTTCAGGAAAACATAAAACCCTTATTTAAGGATGTTTTTTGTGCAATTTTAGCAAAACTAAAAGAAAAATTATTGCAAAGCACCCTGAAACCACAGCTTTGAAAGATATTGATGCAGCTGAAAAGAAGCTCAGCAACGCTGTTACAAAACGTTTAAGTAATAAAAAAGAAAAAATTAATTTTGATTTAAATATTTATTTTATCCACTCCCTTTATCCGTCTTGAAACACTGAATTCAGAAATGTTGAAACCATTAACACATTATTTATAAAAAAAAAACTCTTCTTGGAGACTTGGACGTCAATCGGTAAAAAAGCCAAACAAATTCAGAATTTGAGACATTTGGAAAACACTGTTGAGAAGAGTACCAAACCGCAAGTCTTCTATTATTATTATCTGTGAAATTGTATAAATATGTGTTTAAATATGTTAAAATATGCCAGGACATTTAACGGAATTGTCAAAGCATAAAGCAGATTCATTATTCAAATAAATAATTAATAAATTTAAAGATTTCAACGGGTTTACATTACATTACAAGATATAGCATTACATTACAAGATATAGTATTACATTTTCATAATTTTCATAATATCTGCAAATGCTAAAGCTAAGTTCGCCTTTGTAGGATCTGGTTCAGGCTCAGGGACAGGCAAAGGATTAGGTTCAAGTTGAGGTTCAGTTTCAGGCTCAGGATCAGTGTTAGGGTCAGGATAGGGTTCAATTTCAGGATCAGATTATGAATAGTCATTAGTCCGGGTTCAGGTTCAGACATGATGCATAAGTGTCTATCATCTCCATCCAACTGAGGAATAGGAGATGAAGCAGGAGCTTGAGATCTTGTTTTTCTCACCATTTAAACCTTTGTCATATTATTGTTCTGGTTTGATATAAATTACTCATCCGTAAAGGAATTTCTTAGTTTGTATATGCTAATTATAGACGAATGCCGCATTCATTTAAATTTGTAAGACGGCATGGGATCTATCATATAATAAACTTATTCAGCATAAACTTTAAAATTCTGATTAAACAACATTTTAGTGTAGATCATATTTGCGACATTGCGCTATTTACGTAAAGTCTTTATGTGTTCCGACCTGCATTTGTATTAATAAAATAAATGCGGGTTTTCGCAATTTACTCTGTTTCAATATTTAAGTCACGGGCTGACAATGATCTCCTCAAAAACAGTCTTTAATAAAATCTTGCATTTTGGCGTACGATTCAGTAAAAGAATATGCTATAATAAAAAAGAGTTAATTTATTATTATTATAAATTGAATTAAAATTTATATTTTAATAATTTAAAATTTTAGTTAAAACCAGCCGTGCCTGCCTGACGCTGCCTAAATCAAATGACAACAAAACGGGTGAGGGTCAGATGGGATAAAGGTAAGCGCATGNCTTCCCCCCCCCCCTTTTTGGACTACATTATCTGTGATCAGGATGTTTAAATCTATTGTTCTCTATGTCCTTGGAGTTATATAGGTACAAATAAATTGTGTAAAAAAATGCATTCCTAAAAAGACTTAAAGAAAATCTATCTGTAAATGATATTTAACGGTACTAATACTGAAATGTATTTTTAAATTCAATGTTGTATAGCTTAAAGGACGGCTTGGTTTTCTATAGAAAATTGGAAATGGTTCTTGGGAAGCACTATTGGCCTATCTTTCAACACAGTGTAACTGAGCTGTGTTTAACTTGGATTTTGTCAAGCCTTCAAATCTAATAAGAATACTATTCTTCATTACTAAAAATGTTAAAGGAAATAATTAGAAAGGTCTGTACACCGTTGAACCATAAATTTTAGTTTCCGAAAATGTCTAAGGAATAACTTAAATATTAGAGTAAACTCTCAAATTATGAATATATGTAGTTGATTGATTAATAATTCGTCTAAATGTTATCAGGGGCTTGGTGGAAGTTTAGCCTAGGGGGGTGAACTTTAAGCGCGCGTGAGCGAACAGATTTTTTTTCGGGGTCACCCCCCTAGCGGTCGTTTGTTCACCCCCCTAAAAAACCAGTATTAAGCAAAAAGTTTAGTTTTAAAAATTGTATAACCCCTATAAAGGCACCTAATTTAAAATCCATTTTTTCAAGGGCTTTTCAAAAATGTAAGTTTTAGATCTATAGCTTAAATAACAAAAGTTTATGGGCTATCTTAACCCTATCCCTGCTGGGGTATTTGAAAACCAGGATATGCTGGGGGTGGGGGATTGGGTCAATTTGATTGCCCCCCCTCAAAATGTCATGTTTGATGTCCAAATATGACAAAAATTCATCATTGGAAAGCTCGTATTCTCTACTTTTAGAATCAGCAAAAAATGCAAATTTGCTAAATTGATTTTTTTTGAAAAATCCAGTTATACAGTAAAAATGTTTTTGCAAAAAAATGATAAATTATGATATTTATATAGAAATAATTGCCCCCCAGCATGAAAAGGGTTAATTTCTGCAAATTGCAAAAAAATCCTTTAAAATACTTTCCTCAATTTTTTCGGTGAATAATCAAAATTATTCAACGTTTTTTTTTTTAATATTAAAACAATAATTTTGATTATTACACTTTCTTCCTACGCATAATATACTGAACTTACTTCAATTTGACAAGACTTTTTTGGAAAATATGCATGTCAAAATAAGCTTTAGCTGACAATACTTGACAATTTGAGACAATATTCGCACACTCAGCACAATTGGTAAAATAAAAAAATCAGTACATTTATTCCACACTGCATATTCGCTAAATAAATGAAAACGATAGAATGGTTTTTATGGCCAACTTTTCTTTTAAATATCGAAGAAATTTTTTATTATTTTAAGGGACTGATTTTGTTATTTGAGATGATCTTTTTTTTCAAGATTCTGATTCGCAATTTTACCCTTTATTTGATAAGTAAAGAACATATCATTATTTTTCTAACTTCAAGTGTGTTCAGCTATATATATAGAGATCTTCCACTGTTACTGAAGCAAAAGTTCGCTATTCAGAAAAACCACAATTGAAAATTAACAATTTTTCAAGTTAAACAATGGGTATCTCACTCATTCTAGATCATAACAATAATAACCATAACATCCTTACAACCCAAACCTCAGACATCGGATTGCAATGGTACAGTTGTGAATAGGACAGGGCACTTATTGAAATAAGAGAACTTGAAATTACAAATACATTATACACAGCCCTATTAATTTTAAGATAACACAGCATACTTCAGTGACAAATTTACCTCGAGAATTGTTGATATCTCTCCTTGCATGAAAGCCCAGGGAACATTGGACCCAGCTAGCGGACATCTTTCACCACTCGGGCAGAACACCTAATAATGCAAAATAATAAGAGTATTTATATTTTATATATATATATCTTCTAGTTTATATATATATATATAAATTTGTAGTCTCTGTTTGTTTGTCCGATCGTAACTCTGGAATCCCTGGACCAATTTGCCTTAAACTTTGATTGGGGAACTCGGGAGTCCCACGAGAATATTTTGTTTGTTTTTGAGATTCAAAGTTGCGTAGGGAAAAAAGTTAAAATTGTAATTTACGACCAAGTGCGGGTAAACGGCGGGAGTAACTATAAGTAACCTGTGCAACCCTGGGTTCCCCAAGCTAGTAATCTATAAAGTCATTTCTAATTTCGTTTTTTGGCCTAATGGAAAAAATGTTTCAACTTAGAAGAAGTTTAGCATACAGCTGACAGCCTATGCATTAGGTTTACTATCGACTTATTTCCAAGACAGTTCAAAATCCACCCCAAATTTTTTACCTCTGTATTCGGTCCTTGCTTCTTTATCGAATCTGCAGAACAAGGGAAACAGAACTTGTGATTTTGGTTTGTGGGACACTAAACAAATAGTTTAGGAATTAATATAGTTATTCTTAATAACAGCTTGAGGGGACCATATGTGTAATATCAAGTGACCCTCCATGAAAAGAAGACAATATCCGATTTACAATGGTACCCTTGAAAACTTTGTCTAATCAAGTACTAGATATCCATGTTTGTGTTTTCATTTACGGGTTCGATGCGAAAAAGACTTGTGATTTCTTGCTTATAAGAAGCAATACAAATTTTTAAAAAAATAAATCACTTTTCGAGTCAGAAAGACTCAAGTATTTTTTCATTTTTCATCAGATTAAGGTTTTAAGGGGTTTAAGGATACCATTATAAGCCGGGAATTGTTATTTTTGCATGGAGGGTCACTTGAAAGTACTGAGCTAAACTATTTCAGATTTTTTAAATGCCTCTTGAAACTTAAAGAACTAGAGGCTGAGGCAGAATTTAAACTGCGTCGCTGAACCGCCAAAAATCGGTTCCTATTGAGCGGCGACTCAAATCTCAAGACTGAATGAAATTTTCAAGTGGAACCAAATCTTTGAGACGCGGCTTAAATTCTTTAATTCAGCCTCAGTTTAAACAAAGACATTTTCCATCACAACAGGATTTAAGGCCCATTTGCGTGGTACCTGAACGAAGTGTGTATCCTCTAGACGTTGAGAACAAATAGTGCATTTCAGATGGGGGTTGTTGGGGAGTCCATCTGTAAGATCTAAAATATTCAAATAATAAAAACGCTTATCAAGATATCACCAGGAAAGTACAGGGTGTCCCAATGGGACACTGTCCCACATCATATTGGATCGTTAATGTCTTTAAATACCTAATTTTCAGGGACTAATGAGAAAATTTTAGACAAATCTATCTTTTTTAAAAATTGTTTAAGACCAATATTAAAATTTGCATGTAAAAAATACAAGGTTTTTCTAGTATTAGGTGCGTTAAAGCTTAGAGATAATCCAATATGATATGGGAATTTGGAAGCTTTGTTTATTAATGAATTTAAGGCATTAAACATTAAACAGCTATTTGCACTTTATCTGTTCTTTGCTGCTCTCATATACTGCCTGAATGTAATCTTATATGTGTAATAAATTTAGATTAGATTATACATTAAAGGGACAGTAAAGGAAAAATGAAAGGGGGTATAGACTGAAAGCTAATCACTTTAGCTCTTGATCGCGACCCATGAAAGTTTTATATGATTTTCCTGTCTCGAGAAATTGATATAAAACTGTGTTAAAATTATACGAAAATTCATATATGTAAAATTTTGAAAATCTGAAACTTAAATCACGTGACCAAAACTATCACCAATGGCAGAGCAGTATACTGATCACGTGTCTCCGCCTGTATCACGTGACCACTTTACTGCACTGCTATTGGTGGAATTTCTGGTCAAGTAATACGGACGTAAAAATAATATTATGAATGAAATCTATTGAAAATAGAAATAACAAATATATAAGTAAACCTAATTTACAATTAGCTTTCTCTGGGATATCATCGTTTTCAGATTGGTTGCTTATTTGCTGAATATGATCTGTTTAAACCTACTACTTTTATACAAAATTGTATATATATTAATTTTCGTATATATTTGACACATTTTTATATCAATTTCTCGAGACAGGAACATCAGATATAACTTTCATGGGTCGCGATCGAGAGCTAAAGTGATTAGCTTTCAGCCTATACCCCCTTTCATTTTTCCTTTACTGCCCCTTTAAGTTTATGTTGCCGTTAATAATATTCACTAGATAAAACATTTTAAATGAGTTATGATTTTAAAAGTTCATGCATTTTAAGGCGTTGTACTAGCATGCATTTATATTATACCATTATGCACAATACATTCACTACAAAACAGACCCATAAAAAAAAACAATTAAAAATCCATAAGAAAGTGGGAGCTAATGGAGGGGACTATAAAAACTCTATACCATCTCATCTTTAACTGACAAGAAAAGGATCCAACAATATTATTTAAGTGCAAAAAGTCCCTTTTGTGATATCTGAAGCTGGTAAGAAGTTTACTCAAAAATAGGATCCCTGCAATGAATTTGAAAATGGCAAGAAGTCCCTTAAATCGCAAAGGATCCCTGAAATCTGGCAAAGTTCCCTTCCGAAAATGGGTCCCTTCACTTCAATTCCAATCTAAAACAGAAAAGAACTCCGGGTCCCAAGGATCCCTGAATTCCAATCTGAAACTAGCAAGCAGTCCTCTTTACTTAAAGACAGTGCTGACTAATCTTTTACAGATTTCAAGATGCGATAACTATTTTAGCACGAAAGGAATATGTTGTCTATAGCCGGCCAAACGGCCGGACTGATTGGGCGGAAATTTTTTGTGGACACTCAAGGTGGCCGGTGGGTGTAATAGGCTAAAAAAATACCAATTTTTTTTTAATTTCTAAAAAAATTTTCCCCATAATTTATTTTTCTACGGGCAACGCCGGGCCCTCCAGCTAGTTATTCATAAATTTAAAAATTAAAGATTTAGAAAATTTGGATTCTATCAAACTTATCAATTCATTCAACGCATAACATTTTTGTCATTTGTGAAAACTATTTCACTAGTGCAAGTAAAACCTTTCCATAAAGATATATCAAAATTGGTTTAAATAAATTAATCTTAAAACCTGAATTAAGAAACCTTGGAAGTCGCAAAAATTTGTAAAAAATGACTACTAACACAATTTGAAAAAAATTCCTTAACACTTATTTTTTGCCAATTTTTTTAAATATCAAAATTAGTTGGTGCAAATATCGACCTCCGATACTGATCCATTTAAAATAATTTTTAACCGATATTTTGGTATTCTTTTTTGTAGGTTTAAATGAAAATTTTTTGTTTGAATTAATATTTAAACATAAAAATTATTTTAATTGGTCAGATCCAGCATAACAAAGTTAATTTTGAAAATTAGTTTTACCATTTGTAAACTCTATGCTATTTCACATGAATAACTTTTTCAATGCTTTATCACTAAATTATTCTGTCTTGTCATATCCAGTGATGTTCATACACTGCAGGGACAAATTAATTAGACAATCAAGCATTTATCACAAATTGAGAATTGCTCACATTGGTTATCGACATCAAACATTTCAAATAGCACAAACGGTGGTCCACTTTACAAAATTTAATCCATGGTTATATTTTATACATTTTACCAGATATGCAAAAGTAAACCATGTGAATGGGCATGAACTAGAAATAATAGTTTCTACAGTTTTTTAAAGTCCATTATTTTTAAATTCTGAGAAGCAAACAAAATGGACATGGAACATGAATTCATACACAACAACTTTGTGTTTACATTTAGACAGTGATTGAATCATGCCTTTATTTTAGTTCAATGTTATTTAAAAAAGGCTACATCCAAGCCGCAGCGAATTTAAATATATGTGTACAGTCTGATTTGAAGAGCTGGATGGCTAATTAGCAAAACAAAAAATGCCAAAAAATAATTGAAGGATAAAAGGGTGAAAGGTTGGATATTTCAATATTATGATTTAGTAAATTTGTAACAAATGTACAACATTTATTTTGGCTCTTTTTTAACAAATGATTGAAATCATGCATTCCCATCACCTTGTTTAGGGCCTTCCTTGTTGTCCAGTTCAGAGCTGGAAGTTACTTGTCTGGAGCAGCTTGCAGCTCCTGCATTTCCAAAATTAATGGAATCATTGAATCAAGTAATTTAATGTTTTGCTATAAAAACCAAAATTGTGTTTTCATCTCTACTTCAGTGCCTAGGATCAGGATCCAATGAGCAAAAATATCAACCAAATACTACAAAAAAAAACTCAAAACCCAAATCTGAACTGTTGAAAAACAGTTAAGCTTTCAATTTTTTTCTTATTTTTGAATGGTTCATCAAGTTTTAGCATAAAAATAAGTGAAAAAAAGAAGAAAATAATTTGAAATTCTTCTTTTGTTCAACAATCAGTAAATCTTAAAGAAATGTTCATGAACTGGACCAGGATCCGGATCCCCATTAAAAATCAATGGACCCTTAGCACTATTGAATGCTTTGCTAACATAAGCAAAATTGTATTTCAATCTCTAATTTACAATTACCAAACATCCAACTCGACCCAAAAGTTGATGATCAGGGGAGTTTAATGTTAAAAAACCATAGCACAAAATTTAAAAAATTAAGAAGTGGTTTTCTGATATACTGAAACTATTTGTTCTTGCAAAAAATAACAAGCTGGATCCTGGGTAGTTTAAATATTCTAACCCACCGCTATATATTGTTATTGCTTGTATGCATAAAAAAAATCAACTTTTTTGTCGAAATATCTACTTAAATTATGCTTATAATGCGGAATAGTTTCGAAAAATGTAAGCTAATTTATACGATATTGGAAAAGTGCGATTTAAATGTTTTTGATTACAATACACACATATTTTCGTCCTCACTGAGATACATGTTAAACAACTTTAAGGAATAAGAAAACTATACAGAATTCATTTTGAAGAAACATGCATGAAGAATAAATGAACGTATCCAGGATGCAACTGAAGTGTTAAATTTCAATTGCAGAATGGATAGATTAAAAACATGCATAAACATTCATGCTTTCTAATAAAACAAATGATAAAACCTCTTTTGAACTCTTCATTCCTTTTTCTTAACTTTTTTTCTCCACCGTTATTTTATCTGTTTCTTTTCTCTTCATCCTTTTACTTTTAATACCTTTTTCCTTTGTATTACATTTAATTGATCCAGTTTTGACTTCAGATTTTAATAGAGCTTTTCTCTTCAAAGATTGATTTTTATAATTTACTCCTACTATGCAAAAGTAAATCAAGAAATCCATGAGTGAAAGTTTAAGACTCTGAGTTACAGTTATTTAAATAGTTTCACCGAGAGAAAAATAATTTCAAGCGCAACATGCATGTATGAATTAGACACAAACTTAATGTCAGATATATTGTGTCTAATATGGCACAAAATACCAATTATTTTAGTAACAACTCTAAAACAATAAATGAGAAATCAGAAGTAGAAAAAGTACAATTCAAGTACGACCTTGAATCAAAAGCATACCCAATCAATCAATCAATCAATCAATCAATCAATCAATCAATCAATCAATCAATGGTATGTGATCTAAATACTTCCCAGTTTAGGCGACATACAAAACCCAGGGCCTTCGGTCACACCACCTATTGATTTGCTATACCTTGGTTGGTTTGAGGATGGGGTGAAAGCCCTGGTTCACTGCCCGGTCTGGACAACCGGCCACTAGACTCTAAAAGACCTTAAATTGGTTTAATGACTAAACAGCTATTTAAACAGTTTACGAAGTAAAATCAAATAAAAAACATGCAAAAATCAATTAGTTTTTTATTTAATCCTTATCAAATTTTATTTTTTTATATGATTATATTTCAGACTTTCAAATTTAAATTTCAAATATTTTCTTAAAAATTCAACAAATCAGACTCAAAATAATCTGAACTTCAAATGTTAGGGATGAAAGAAAATTAGGGAGAAAAGAAGCTAACTATTACAAAAAATAAATCTAAGCTAACACCTTAAAAGTAAAGAAATGGTTTTAAGAGGAAATAAATAAGTTTTAAACCTGATCCTGAGGTCTTGGGCCCATCATAAGAGCTTCCCTTGATTAATGCTGCTTTCACCTTTTTTTCCATTATTAAGCTAGATATATATTAGAACTATATTTTCTTGAAAACCATTTTATGTCTAGTTTATATTATTAATTAATAAAATAAATAAAAAATAAGGTTGCCGAACCAAAAGATAAATTTTCTTAACATCAATCTTGTTAAGAGACAATAAAATCTGATCATAATGGATTTGCCTTTTCAGTTTGTGCATCTATACTACTCCTTAAATAAATAAACATTTTAATTGAGAAAATGTAAATAACAGTTCTTATTAGTTTTGTTGAAGTACATTCAGGTTAATATTTAGATTTTTTAATCTATATCATAATAATCTATATATATATATATATTTTGCTCGTCTTTCTGTCTGTATTCAAAAGACGTCAAAACGGCTGAACCGATCAGAACCAAATTTTGTGTGGGACCTCATATGAGGTTTATTGATGCTCAAAGTAACAAATATTTGTCTCCAGAAGTTTTTTATTTTTGTTAGATTTAAAAAATCGACGAAAAAATAGCTTTTTTGTTATTGTTTTTTATTGTACAAGGAGATTATGCTCACAGATGAGCCACAATTAAAAGTTGAAATAGAAGATCGGCGCGAAGCGCTCTAAAAGCCTAGTTTTAAGTATATAATAATATTATAACCAAGAAAAGAAAAATAAAAGAATAAATAAAAAAATGAGTTATTGTTAATAAAGAGAAGTAGGTGGCAGCAAAGAAAGAGAAATATATTGGAGTAAAGAAAGATTACGAGATAAAAATAAAAGAAGAGAAATAAAAAGAAGAAAATAGAAAAGTAAGAGTAAATCAAGAGAAGTATGCACACTCCTCTGCCGCTTTAGTAATTGCAAATTGGCGGTACAGTCCAAAGTTGGACTGCAAAGATTGACCCAGCTAGGATATTTAAATGTACACCGGTGGGAATTGTAGGTAGAAGTGAAAATATATGAGCATTGAGTAGGTAGAAGTGAAAATATATGAGAATTGAGTAGGTAGAAGTTAAAATATATGAGTATTGAGTAGGTAGAAGTGAAAATATATAAGTATTGAGTAGGCAGAAGTGAAAATATATGAGTATTGAGTAGGTAGAAGTGAAAATATATGAGTATTGAGTAGGTAGAAGTGAAAATATATGAGCAGGTAGAAGTGAAAATATATGAGCAGGTAGAAGTGAAAATATATGAGCAGGTAGAAGTAAAAATATATGAGCAGGTAGAAGTAAACAATTTGGGGTTCAATCTGCCTTTTTAAATGAAAACCTGACTATTAAGGGGATCTCAAATAATTAAAGGAAAAAACTCTTAATTTGACATATAGCTGCTAATTTGAATTGAGACATGAGCTGTGTAAATTTTGATGGGGGGTTGGGGTTTAAAATCTACCTGCTGGGATTATGGTTAAATCCGTTGATCTGAATACCTCGGACCCCGTTAACACCAGAATCAGCTATAAGATAAGTTGTTTAATTTATATCTGTAGATTAAATAAAGGGATATGAAAAAAAATCCCGGAACCCGAAGATGAGCGTTGTGAGACCTCCAAGTCCGGAGATATGGCTCCGCAAGGGATTTCGAGGATGGCCTCTATGTTTCAAATGGCATTATCTTTTTTGTTTTTTAAGATAGCTCCAAAATTTTTTTTCAGTTTTGAATAGGTAATCACAAGCCCGGGATTTGGCGTTAACAGAAAAAATATCATTAAAGTATTATTTACAGGTCATAATTGCATTTCTTTATTTTCAGCTTCCGTTTGAGTATGTGTACCAATTCCGATTGTGTTGATTTTTTAAAAACATATTTTTATACTGCCAAAAGGTAGGGGATAGAAAAGTTATTTTATATGTATCTGTTCCTGTTGAGGAGGAGACCTGATAATTTGCCAACGCATGGGACTTTAGCTAGTATTGCATGCAGGGGCGAATTCAGGAATTTGTCATGAGGGAGCTTGAATTTTTTTCTTTCCAGGGGGGCTCTGCACCCGTTGGGGCCTGAAAACCCCTTGAAATCAATAGATTTCACTGGTCCATGGAGGGCTTATCCCGCATAGTCCCCCGGAATACGCCTCTGATAATAAAATGGCAATAACATCTGAACCCCCGGCTCCATTCACTCTGCAGAAAGAAAGTAATTAAAAAAACTTTTTATTTTATAAAAACAAGTAAATGATTACTTACAAGTCAGATAAACCCAATATAAATATGTTTTTTAAAAACATTAAACAACTCAAATTTTGTAAAATTTTTAGAAAATTAATTCTAAATTAAAAAAAATTATTTCTTACATAAAGCTGGTCCAGACATCATCTGTGACCGGGAAAGAAACTCTGCTGCGGTCATCTTCCTGTGTTGGTTGGGGAGGGGGTCATCTGTTGGTCTCTTGAGCCCCCCTCCTCCAACACTTGGAACAGGGGAGGGTGTCACCATATACCGCCCATCATTGCTTCCTGCAAATGAAAAAAAATTAAGTTCTCATCACATAAGTTTACTTGCAGAAATTGTGGAAATAGAGTTTAAAGACAAGACAAGAGTTAAAGTATACTTGATTTTACTAACAGGGAAAACGATATGCTTCTTACAGATTGTTTATGTAATACTTGCAGTTCTTATTTTTTCCTTTAAAAATGTTTCCTTTTTCCCTGACGACTGTAATATTGTTCTTCAAAGTATTCTATAATTTTTTTTGTCCTAAAAAAAGTTCCCAAAAAAATCATTTTCCAAAATTCCCGCCGGGCGTCTAGGTTTGTAAAACTAATAAAAGCAGGGGTTAATATTTTCTAGAATTACGACCCCCCCCCCTCACCCCACCTCCGGAATTTCAAGAGGGGGAAGAAAATATACACTACACCCCTGCATACATGTATTACATTCATATTATTACATAGCATGACAAAATATAACAATTAAAGTGCAATACAAATTAATTAAAAGGTTGACTACAATATAAGAAAAACAAACAAATTACAAAGCTTGGGGCGAAAATCAAATCGAAATCAGAACAACCCCATTAGCTGACTTTACAGTAATCTTCTGTCATTTATGTTAAAAGTGAGATCTAGGCAGTACTAGGATCCATATGCGTTGGATCCGCAACATTTTCTCTTCCTGGATCCGGAAAAACATGCGGATCCACGGATCCGGATCCAAAGGGCAACATACTCTTAAAACCAAAATATCAATTGTTAATTTAGTGGGAGATTGTTAAAAATTGCCTAGTCCCTGAATAGGTCATTAAGTTTTAGCATGAATAAACTAAATGAAGAAGATATCCTTCAATTATTAGAAAAAATCAGTAAATCTTAAAAAAAATTTCATGACCTGGATCAGGATCCTTTGTATCTACAAAATAAAATGGATCATGAGAATTGATTTAAAAGATATTAATATTATTATTAGCAGACAATACATCATTCAATTCTATGAAATAGGGGTCGACGCTCCTCGCCACCGAAGTGTATCCAAGGACCATCATCAAACATTATTTTTTTTCTTTCATGTGCGTTATCCATTTTCAGCTGCGTTATCCATTGTCAAAAATGATTTTAAATTCTTTCGGGGTAAACATTATGATATATTATACTTCCCAAGCAGACTTTCCTCATAAATTGAATTTATTGAGTAACATTTTCCGAGCTGTGCAGAAATATTTACCACGCGCAATATTGAGTTTTTGGCAACACGAAAGGGGGAAATGATCTGTCTTCTGAAATTGATTATGAATGGTAATTTGTGTTTGTTTGACAGTTGTTGTAACTAAATTTCAAAATTATAAAATATAATTTTTACCATTTCCGTTCAGATAAACTTCTCTAGTGGAACTCGAAGGTCGCACTTGTCCTTGTCTAGACATCTCAGCGAGCATGAACGAACGTTTCATCTTGCGCGCGCTCTCGATAATCCCGTCAATGCGCTCTGGGCCCTCGTAGTTGACACAGCCCCGGCAGACGGGCTCGCTAAACTCCATAAGGACTGCCCAGGGATACCGAGGCATGTCACAAAGGTAACACAAGACCTAAACAAGACTCGTATGAAAGGGGTTTTCCACGTCTATATAAGTTGAATGTCTAACTGTTGACTCTGTGTGTATCCAATAAACTTCCAAACGGCTGAACAGGTTGGGTCCAATTCCAAAGAAGGTTTAATACTGGGCAAAATTGAAAAACAACCAAAATTTTAGTACAGAAATAACCCATTACCCCACCACCCCCTCAAAAAAACATATATCAATACATATACGTTTTCTCAAATTGAACAAACTTATTTTTTTTTAGTAAAATCATATTTGTGAATTAATGTATAGAATGTTTGCGGTATATTTCTTAGAATGCATTTGCACATTACAAATAACAACTTTGAAAGATTATTTATTTATTTAAAACAAAGAGCCTCATTTGTCCTCCCTAAAACTAACCTTTTTGTTGGGAGTCGCCATACCAAATTCTTGCATCCGTAATAAGTCTTAGATCATAATTTGGACTCTGAAAATATATTTTGATTTTAGAATATAATCTCAGATGACGGTATTAATAAGTACTATAAAGATATTACTCTTAAATTGAATAATCGAATTTTTCTTGTAAATTTTATACTTGCCATTTTAACACATTTAGTCTAGAACACCTAATCTATAGCGTTAACAGGATACTTAATTTAAATTCAAAATACATAAAATCTTATCCTTTATTTTCTTCCAAATTTCATTATTAACAAATTAGTTTCCTAGAGAACTCTTAATTTGACAACCCCCCCCCCCTCTCCCTCCAAATTTTTCTATTTAGAAACCTAATTCCCATGATCAGATATTCAGAAATTTTTTAAATCGAAGTCATGTAAAAGAATTAAAAGAAGTGGGGGGGGGGGGTACATGATTCATTCTTTAGAGTAGTATAGACCCAATTCTCATAATTATTTTACTGCTTCAAAACTGAATTTCTAAAATTTTTTAAGAATTGGGGCTATATGTACAGGGTGTCCCACATCATATTAGACCGTCATCAGGTCTAAATTGCGATTTTCGGGACTAATAAGAAAATTTAATTAGAATAAATCAATTTGAAAAATAACATAAGGCTTATATAATAATTTTCTCGTGGAAAATCATAAGTTTTTCGAGTATTAAGGGTTTATTTTGTCGTTAAAGATTAGAGATAATCTAATATGATATGGGACGCTCTGTACTATGTAGTTCAGTATTAAAATCAAACTAGCATACAAATTATTTTACAAAACAGGTCTACGAATAAGTTATTTGAAATAACAGTCAATTATTTCTGAATGCTGAGAATCTATAAGACATGTAGGTGAATATATATTTGATTTTGTTGTTTCAAGACAAAGTCAATCACGACTCTCGAGCAGTGAAAAGGAAAACTGTGGATTGGTTGAAAGTTTCAATGCGCTAAAGCATGCACAATTAAATGTCGTCTTTCTATGAAATTTAACAATAAAACAAAAAAATTTGTCTTGTGAGAGACTCGAGAGACTACTTGGGGGGAATAGGTCATACTCTGATAAGGGAGGGGGGGGGGGGGGGTTTTAGCTAATTATTAAGCTTAAGACTGACAAGCACAGAATAATTATGTCCATTACAATTTACAGCCCACTACGGTATTTACCACCATTTCAACAAAATTCTACATCTTCGAACCTATACAAATCCATACTAGCACGTGGTTTTTCAGCTGCTAGATGGACTTACGGCCGTAGCGCCAGACCCCTAGCCTGTCCTAGCCGCGACCGGCCCCTAGTCTATCCTAGCCGCAGCGCTCGGTCCAGAAATTGTCTTAACTAACCCTCAAATAATACAAAAATAAACAGCTAGCGTAGATCCGATAATGCAGTAGATCGGAAAATTAGTAGGACAGAAGTTCAATAGGGCCCGGATGTTGCAGACGGTGTAACATATTGCCCATTTTACGTATCTACTGAAGCGATTAGATTTGATTATGTTATAAAATTATCTTTGATGTCCAAAATTGTCATCAGTCCTCGGACAAAGTTTACTTTTAACATATATATTCCAGAAAACATCATTGTAAAAGTTAAAACGGCCCTCCCGCACTGAATTTTTTTTTTAATAAGTATGTTTGCACAAAGCAGATTCTTTTTAGGGTTTCATCCCTAAATTTGTGTGATGAGACTTTAGAGAGATATAGTGAAAAAGTTTGCAAATATCCTTCATTTTCCCCCCTGTAGAATATATGCCCATACACAAACACAGGGTTTGAGATTTTGAAATTTTTGCTCTTAAATAGAAGAAAGAATGTAAATATTTCAAAAATAAATATATTTTCTAGAATCAGTCATAACATAATTATATTCTCTTTAACATTATAATTATTATTTGTATAAATACATTTTTACATAAAAGGAATTTTGCAATTATATATGCTATCCTAACATCAATTTGATGATAGCCCCCCCCCCCCCTCCGCATCGAAAAGAGAAATTGATTATCTTTTAGTCAAAATCCACAAAAATATTTCCTTTATTTTTGCTTCTTTTGAGGTTTGGGAAGGATTCCCATAGTCTTGGCAATTATCCCCAACATAACCTCGTCGGCTCCTCCTCCAATAGAAATCAGCCTCAGGTCCCTGAATAGTGAATATATACAAGTTTATTAATTTATTACAGTTGTCATTGTATATATCAATACAACGAAGATGACTTTCGATTAAAAATGTTGATTTCTAACAAGCATGAAACAGCATGGATAAACATCTGAGATGGAAATTGAAAGAAGTTGTTAATTAAGAGCTTCTAGTAGTTTACTTGCATACTTGTAATTTACAAAAAAAGCATGTGAGAGATCAAAACTTAATTTAATATAATTTTGTACTTTGACTTAAAAAGTTTAGTGTACTATACTAGAAGCTCAACTTTAGTCCTTGGACGGGATACTACTGTTCTAGAATACAGAGTTACCCAAAAAGAATGAGACTTTATTGAGGATATATTAAAAATTATTCATTTTCATATTTTTCTTTACATTGAGGATTTTTACATGTTAGCTCACGGCTTCTTTTGATGCTATCTCATTTGGACTACTGCTGTTTGAACTATTGTTCATTTGAACTATTGTTCATTTGAACTATTGTTCATTTTGAACAATAGTTCAAACGAACAATAGTTCAAACGTACCATAGTTCAAACGGCAGTAGTTCAAATGAGAATCCACCTTTCTTTTAGCCATTCGTCTAGATTAGAAAACAGGACGGATCCGTATTAAAGAGAAATGGATTCTAAGCACTGGTGTACTATACCTGTACATCCTGCTGATAAGAACTTCGTTGGTGAATCCCATTCCTCCCCAGAACTGGAGACAGGAGTCCGTGACCTCCCTGCACAGCCTCCCAGCCTTCAACTTCACCATAGAGGCAAGCTGGGTCACATCACTAACAAGAATATTGAATTAAATCAGAAAATCATCCTCAGTGGTTCATACAAGAAAAGATCAATAAATTAACCATTAATTCATTAACCATTACCCCCTTTAAATATCTTGACTTACCCTCCCTGTACATGAAGATCTGTTGCCCTGTACAATGTTGCTCTGAGCATCTCAACTTCAGTTTGGAGTTCGGCAAGCTTAAAGTGAATTGTCTGGTTGTTCAACAATGGGGAACCAAACGCCTAAGAAGAAGAAAACTTTTAGTAAAAATAAATTAAGTTTGAAGTCAAAAATACTTCTAAAAAAACCTACTGTTTCCTAAAATGATGTGAGCTGTGATTAGAATAAGAACAGTGTTTACAATTTTAGTTTCAAAATTACAGTTTCCTCAAATTAAAAAAAGGTAAAAAAAAAAATTTCAAGGATCTTTCAAGGTAGGATTGACGATTTTCAGACCTTTTGAGGAGATATGGGGGGGTGGGAGATCAGCTAAAGAAAGTTTACAAAACGAATGGTGTGTACAACTGCAAACGGAAAACATGTACGCGAGTAGAGTAGTTTATTAAATTGAAAAAGTTGGTACATAGAATGGGTTCAATACCTATTTTGTGACCGACCAGATTCGATCAAGGGTCCATATTTGCGATCCCAAATATTATTGATTGATATTGTTATTTTAAATAATTGGAAGTATGATGTCAAGTTGTAGAAAAAATCCATATCGCAGAATTATTTTTCTGAATATCATTTTCATCTTTTATATCGATTACTGATATACTAATATTTACATCTTTTAACACCCCGAATGCAGTACACATTTCTGAGGTGTAGTACACGAACACAAGAAACTTGCCAAAGTTCACAATGACACAGAAAGTGTATTTTCATGCTCCTGCGTTCAACCCCGATCCTATTTGAGATCAGAAGTTGAGTTATATGGACGCCTGGTTTCGACAAGCCAGTCAAAATATATCTTAATAAAACATCTGCATTTAAAGATTTTCTTACCATTCTTGTTCTGCAGTATTCGGCAGTCTCTTTTATGCACTGAAGTAAAAAAGAAAATTAAAGAAAAATCACATATTTATGTATAAACAATTCATTCGAATTGACGTGAATGTGATCTTGAAAATTCATAAAAAATGGTAAAATGAATCCAAAAAATGATCCAATTTTATTGTTAGCATTAATGTTATTATTTAAGTTTGTATTTCTGTTTTTACTTAAAGGACATTGATTAAGATCACTATGGCTTTCAAACGTATTGATAAATAAAAAAAAATGATCAAAATTGTGTTTAAAAAGTTAATAAAAGGTTTTGAAATGAAGGTTTGAACCTTGTCTAAGGGCGCGAGTGCAAGCGCGGCACAAGCCAATCTTTCCTCCTGAAACTGAAGCATCTGGTAGGTGAACCCCATGCCTAGAACAATAAATCTTAAAGGTAGTGGCTGGCTAGACATGGTAGTTGAGCCGAGAATGCAGTTTTGTAGAGAAAAGTTTTATAAATCATTCAAGACCTACAAGACGTTTGTACGGTGCATAATTATTCAAGAAGCGTGAAATTTCAATCATTAAAATCCTCCAGGATTGTCCAACACGCCGGGCAGGCCAGCAGCACCATAACCTGTACAGTGTACACCGTACAAACGTATTAAAGGTCTCAAATTATTTATAAAAAAAATCTCTACAATACTCCTACACTTCTTTTAACTAAAGTCAAGCTAACACCATATCATATCAACAAATATCACCTTGGTTCACATTTGAAAACCTCAACAACTATGTGAATCAAAGTAAATTCAATGAACCTCAATTGCATTTCTGAAGACAACATTATCAAAAGTATTTTCACTGAACATATCGTCAAAAGATAAATGTTGACTTCTGGAAAACAAAATCGTAGTTTTCAAATAAAAAATAGATTATAAATTCAATACCTGCGTCCCCAATAATATTAGCTGCTGGCACTCTGTTTTCAGCGGGAAATATATTTTAAAGAGTTCAATTTTAATTTAAAATTTGTTTGCGTCAAATTTATTTTAAAAAGTTCCAATTTTAATTTTTTGACCTTGATGGTTTAAGAAAACCTTTAATGGTCAAAACAAATTTCTGAAATAAAAAAAAAAATTTTTTTTGGATATATTTCCCCCTCCCTGACATCGTCGAAGAAAATGAGGGCGGTGTCTGAACTTCTCATTCCCATCTTGTCAATTCGTTTGTTCAAGTGGATTCCAGGACTGACAAGCAGTTCGTAATCATTTCAATAGAAGTATTATTTTTGCAACCCCCCCTGTCNGTTTGAAAATCTTTTTTTCCACCAGATGTTAGGTAAATAAATAATTTTTTTGGTTAAAAGTATTAAACAGGAGTATCGAAGAAAGAAGACTCTCCTTTTATTGTCCAATTTTACATTTGTATCTTCAGAACACTTAGAAAATCATTTCCCCTCCCTCGGGCTGTCTTTCTTGAAAATGTGTTTCTTAATCATAGACCCAATAACTTTTTTGAATATATTTTTTATTTAACGTGCAAACTTGTAACTTCTAAAATTTAAGAATTATTTTGGAAAATGTTACACCCCTGTTCATGGGAACACATATCAGAGATTTGTTAAGATGTGCTGAAAAAAAGTAATAATGTTGATAATATAACAACAGTTAAATAAATATCCATCTTCTCAACTTTGTGCACGAGTTTCATAAACAGAATTATAAAAATATTTTTTTTTATTTCTTAAGTATTCGGGAAAGTAATGTGCAACAACTTTGTTCGATTTTTAGCATTCTAATCTAAAACTTTTGAACTTTTAGTAGATTTAAGAAAAAATTTGAAAAATTTCGCAAATTAAAAAAATAGCTTATTCTTAACATTAACTTTCTAAACACTATGCCAAATTTTAACTCAGAGATATAGTATGCTAAAAACAATCGTTTTCAAACCATCAGGTTTTTTGGTTCGTTTTTCTTGTATATATTTTCTGTTAAAGAATTAAGCGTAATTTCAAGTGACCCTCCATGCAAAGCGGGCATATTCATCGAGAAAAGAGAGTTATGTGTTTACGTGAAACTACGATTTTAATCCCTTTCAGATAGATTTTTGCATGGTTAAATAAATGGAAGATTTAAGACACCAGTAATAAGGTGTATAGAAATAAACGTTTATCAATCAATCAATCAATCAATCAATTATATAAATGGAAAATTACAAACAGCTGTTAAATTGGATAATTGTATAAATGAGAAAATCGGTTAACAAATATAGGGTCCTAGGAGAAACCTTTAATCAATAAGGAAGATGTCGTCGTTTTATCATCTTTAAAAGAGTTGAATTCTATAAATTACGTCTTTTTTTCGATTTTCATAAGATCCGCAAGTTAATTTTACAGAGAAACCACAATTAGAAATTATCAATTTTTAGATAGAAAACGAGGATATTTTCCTAATTTTTGGACAGACAAAGAGTACAGTTGTGATTGTGAAACGGACATGCACCGCTATAATGGCTTTCAGATTTATCCATAATTTCTTATATTGTGTTATATACCTGGTCCTTCTGATGTATTGGCGAGTAGACAGATCCAATCTGCTTGGAACGCATTTGTAATCCACATTTTCTGCCCGTTAATGATCAGGTCATCACCTCGTCTTACAGCATTAGTTGTTGACGAGGCAACATCACTTCCTGGCCGAAATAAAAAAATGTTACGTTTTTCTTGTTTCTATGATTTATTTTTAGAAAAGATTACTGGAACAAGCATCTACAATTTTAAACTTATATTGGTCGACTACATTTTTTCTTTGCTATCATTTTTGGGTTATCACTGATGTTAATTAAATCTATAAATGAGAAAAGCGCCAATTGAAACATCATTACTGTTAAATAAAACTTCTGTATGGAGTACAAATTTGTTCAGATCAGCTAGGCTGTTAAAATCAATTGATGTTTTAGCATCTAGATTTCTTATTCCCTACACGTTAAACATAAGGTAAAAAGTAATGGACCATTTTGGAGAACGATTAGTTCTTAAACAGTAAAAATCTTCTATATATAAATTTAGCTTGTCTGTTTGTTTGTATCCAATAAACATTAAAACGGCTGAACCGATCGGGCCCAAATTTTGTGTGGGACCTCATATGACCCCAGAGAAGGTTTATGAATTATCAAAATTTTAAAAATTTGTGTTTAAAAGTTTTTTATTTTTGTAAAATTTTCAAAATGCGCGAAAAAATATTATGAAATCCGCAAACTTTTTTGGTATTTTTTTATGCTCACAGATAAAGCCACAATTAATTTTGAAATAGAAGATGGGCGTAAAGCGCCCTAAAAGCCTAGTAAATATATATTTTATTAATTAATCTAGTTTTATGATATAATATAAATTCTTTTGACAAAATCAGTTAATGCGTTTAAAATATCAAAACAGGACCCAGTTCTCCAGTACGCATATACGCACCTGCACCAGGTTCACTGACCCCAAGACAAGCAACAACATCTCCTTGAATAGATGGAGCTAGAAACTCTCTCTTTAGGGCGTCAGATCCAAATCTGATGAAAATTTTAAAAACTTTGAAATAAATACTAATGCGTATTTTTCTAAATCATTAAAATTGAATGATATATTGAAAAGTGTTGACATCTACTGCCTAAATTTATAATAATGATAATATTGTGGGAGTTTTCATTCAAGGATCTTTAACAAGCCATTAAATGAGGGGGGTTCAAATGTGCATGGTTTACGGAGATAAAATATAAAACATGTTATGCTTTGAACAAAACGGGAATTGTTTACTGATATCAATACCAAATCTGAGAACAATTATCAAATTTTGAACTTCTCACAACCCAATTTTGTCCAATCCCGGATTTATTGTTTATTTTTTGGACTATTTTAGAGTGAAGACGTTTATCAAGTGTCTTTCCAGTTATAGACAGAGATGATATTCTTGCTACTCCTGCCCCCCCCCCTCCCCTCCCCTAAGGGAAGGAAATAAATCAAAAGAGAGAAGGAACAAGAAAAAAAATGTAATCCCAGAAATGCGGAAAAAAGTACAATTAATTTTGTGAGAATACACACCCCTAGTTATAAAGTTTTTTGTCCACTCTACCCTTAAAAGCTTTGTAAAATCAAGAATGAATGCAATTTCCATGTTTTTACAAATAGATTATTTTCAATTTTGCCTTCTCTACAAAAATATCTTTTTCTTCTTATTCGGTGATGGTGATGGACCAAACCTCTTTAGAGTAAAAAAAGTAGATATTAGTTCCACTTTTATTGAAAATATATTTCGGTCTGGGTTGACCTTCGTCAGTTCTTGAGATTGTTTCTGTCACGTTTTCCACATGATTGAACAGGTTTCTAGGGTACAATTGTGATTCAGACATGCCCCATTTTATCTGAAGGGTCACCACTGCGACAGTCCCTTTCAGGAAATTCGATGAACAGGAAATAGTATACCTGGCTAAAGCTGGTGTGGCCATATCTGTTTGAACGGCTACTGACATAGGTATAGCACCACAGTTTACATTCCCCATTTCTTCGTTCAAGGCAACACTGTATTTGAAGTCTAAGCCCATACCTTGGGGAAAATATTATTATTATCATCATTATTATTTTTCTCTTGGTTTTAATATGTGGTTTTACTTATATCATAATAGATGACACTAGAAATGTCTGTTTTTAAGAGCAAAATATTTTTGATTACGTTGTCTCAGGGTTTATATTTTCTTGAATAATCATCCCCTCCCCCCATTTCCCCCCAGAAGTTGGAGCTGTTTGCGTGAAGCGGAAAAATAAATTTTAGTTTTTTTTTTTTGCTAACTGGGGAAAGTAATATTTTTGAGAAAAGCTATAAAAAACTCGGCTATTGATGTCTTAACTTTTTATTTTTTCATTTCATCAAAAATCATTCCCCTCCCCTGGGTTGACTTCATTAATATTGTGAGTTGTGACACTGGGATCAGCATATTTTTTCTGGATACAGGGAGCTCTAGAATATTACGGATCCAGTGTATTCGGATCCAGATACATGCAGCTCTAGAATATTAAGGATCCAGTGTATTCGAATCCGGATACATGAAGCTCTAGAATATTACAGATCCAATGTATTTGGATCCAGATACAGGGAGCTCTAGAATATTACGGATCCAGTGTATTCGGATCCGGATACAGGGAGCTCTAGAATATTACGGATCCAATGTATTCGGATCCAGATTCTAATCACAGCACACAAAAAAATGGCATTAGATAAGATTAAATCTAGAAGATATTAAAGATAATAAAATTCAAGATTGATTTGGTTTCTTTATTACCTCCATATTCCACTGGTTTGTTTACACCTAATAAACCCACAGAGCCTAATTTCTTCATAACCTTGAACAAGACAATTCTCAAATCAGATTATACTAAACTTATTTTCATTTTCATATTGAAGTAAATACATTGAGATAAATTGTTAAAAACTAACGTTTTTGAACTTGAACTTTATCTTTAAAAGAATATAAAAACCTATTAAAAGGAAGCATGCAAAGAAAAAAAGAACTTAAAAAATAAAGAATAACTATGCTTTCAGGGCGCTTCGCGCATTTCTTTTATTTCAACTTTTATACGTGGCTCTATCTGTGAGCATCTTCTCTTTGTTCAATATAAAACAATAACAAAAAGTTCGCGGATTTAATAATATTTTTTTCGCGAATTTTCAAATTTTTACCAAAAAAAAAACTTTTGGCGACAAATTTTTGTAATTTTGAGCATCCATAGACCTTCCCTGAGGTCTATGAAGTAGATAGAAATTTAAATCTAGATCTAGAATTATTATTACTATAATCTACATATTTTCTAGAAAACTAGAATCTAAGGAGTAGATAGAACCTGAAATCTAGATCTAGAATTATAATTACTATAATCTAGTTTCTAGAGTCCTGAATCTACCTGTTTGGCGGGATATTGTCCCTCTGCCTCCCATTGATCAACAAAAGGATTAATATCTTCTTCAATAATCTTCTTCACAGTTTTCTGCATACTTAGCTGCTCTTCCTTAAGTTTAAACTTTTGTGAGATATGGCACTAATTTGTGACACAATCTCAATATCCACTGCGACAACTTTTAAATTCAAGAGATTAGTGCTTGATCCTTTCATTTTAATTATCTCTCTGAGTTTGCAGGACACGATCACCCAGGGAGGGGATATCAAAGTAGAATTAAATTAATCCGTAGATGGAGATCTATATGCTTGATCCTGTGACTTCAGTTAACAATTTTGTTTGATCAGAAATAATCTTCAAATCATTCCTTTTCAAAAGTTTGTTGATATAAAACCTTTTAAAAATTCTTAGAAATTAGAATAAGAATATAACTCGAATCCTAGAAATAACAATGATTCAATAAGTCATAAAAAATAAAAAAAATTGGAAATAAATAAATGGAATGTTTAGTTATTTAGTCAAGCTCATGAATTTAAGTATTCGTTGAAGGAACTGTTTTAAAGTGTTCGTTAAAGGGACTGTTTAAAAGTGTTCGTTAAAGAGACTGTTTAAAAGTGTTCGGTACATAAAAATAAATGAAAAGCAAACATAAAAATTAGAGATTATGCTTTTATCTACCCGGTGTTCCACACCATATTGGATCGTGTTATATAGCTTTAAATTTCGATTTTAGGGAGAATCATTAAAAAACTTTTATATTGCTAATGTAAAGATTTGCATGCAGAAAATACTAGGTTTTTTGAGAATTATGTACATATATAATCTAATATGATATGGGTCGCTCTGAATGAAAATTAAACATAAAGGTGTTTATGGAAGTTTCTGAATACCTCATAAAAGCCCGCCAATTGGGCATTCTGTCTTAAAACTCTCCCAGTACTCAAGGATCTAAATAAAATTAATGAATGATTTTATGCTAAATATTCAAGTCGGGATTTTTTTTAAACTTGAAAAAAAGAAAAAATTGATTAACGACGAAAAGTCATGTATTCAGAGTAATTGACACGATATACAACTTTTTTTAGCCTTCGAAGCGAACACAAAACTAAACTTATAACACAAAACAGTGCTACCCTTAACAATTGTAAAGCAATTTGGTAAAAAAAAGGATAAAAAATAATAGTTTGAGATATCTTCACACAACTTAAAATATGATTTAAATAAATATGTTTTGATATATGAGAAATCAAAGATTACCTAGCAAGGGCTTTTCGGGCATTTCCTAAAATAATCATTTTGATGATTTTTTACTCTTTTAGCAATGACAACTTCTGAAAGGAAAATAAATTACAAATATTGATGTAGGTTAACAAGTTTTAAGTGTGGTCACAGCGCTAAGGTCATTGCACTGGCCCCCACCCCCATCCTTTCAATTTTGTACTAATGTATCTCATGTGTAACACATGAATATAATTGGAAATGTAAGCGCGTCAATTGGCCCCCTAGCCTGTCCTAGCCGCAGCGCTCGACGTCCCTAGCCTGTCTTATAACTGCACGCGGTACTTCGACCCTAGCCTAGATCCTAGCCGCAACGCTAAGCCCAGAAGTGGTGACATGGAAACGCCTCAATACGGAAACGACTCAACACGGAAACGGATCAAAAATACGCAGAAACCCCTCAAAAATCGTTTTTTTTTGAGGCGTTTCCGCGATATCTTCAAATTTTTCGGAAATCCCTCTAAATTCAAATTTTGAGGAGTAATTCCTATTTTTTTGATCGATTTCCCAGAATTGAATATCCGTTTCCCCTTTATTTTATTCAAATATTTCCGAGGGATTTCCCAATATTTTAAGAGGGGATTCCCAATATTTTTGATCCGTTTCCTATTTTTTCAAAAACTTTTAAATTGATAAGTTTCCTCATATTTTTGATCGGTTTCCTCAAATTTTAGATCCGTTTCCTCATATTTTTGATCCGTTTCCGCTTTTATCAAAAACTTTAAAAATCACATTTTGTTCATTGGTTTCCTCAAAAATTTTAGGTCCGTTTCCTCATATTTTTGATCCGTTTCCGCTTTTTTCAAAAACTTTAAAAATCTCATTTGATGATTGGTTTCCTCAAATTTTAGGTCTGTTTCCTCATATTTTGTACCTGTTTCCGCATTTTTCTTGTATTCTTTAATTATTCAAAAGTGACTAATAAGTTTATTTCCTTTATTTTATTAATACTTCCGTTGTCTATTATTAGTTATTAATTCTCAATTTAATAACTTTTATAGATTTCTTTATTTAGTAGAGATTAATTAATCAGTTTAATTTTATTTTAATCTAATTAAAACTTACGTTGTCTATTACTAATTATTAATTCTTATAGTCAGTTTTATGGATTTCTTTATTTATCAAAAATAAATTAATCAGTTTGGTTCAATTTATTATAATTTATTCTTACGTTATTTTTTCATCTACTTTTAGTTATTAATTCTCTAATTTGATCGCCCTGTAAGATCTACGGATCTTTTCTTAAATCTTGATGTTCAGGTTGAATCCAGAAATCGTGATCTAAAGAAGCACATGAAGATCTTCTCATCTAACTCTACACTTGTTCCTACTATATATATACACGAACATTTATTCAAAATTATATATAAGATTTTATCTGAGAATTTAACTAAAGTTTTATGTTAAATGTATTTTTTTAGATCTTCAAGCTTAATAAGCTTTTTTATAACGTCTAAGTCTATAATTTAAAGAGCCTATAACTAAAAAATATATTTAATGGTCTATATATTTCAGACCATAATGGGCTAGAATAACTGCGTTATCCTGCCTTAGTACTCCAGGTTGTGCAATACTAGGTTTATAAAACATCTTATTTAAATGTAAATGTTATTGATGTTGCCCCATCATGTTAATAGCTGAACAATTCCTGTGGATCTAGGTATTGTTTCTAGGGAAAGTGCTAAAATTCCCAAAACGGGCACACACCCTTAATCCTACAGTTTAGCAGTTAATCCTACGGTTTAGCAGTTCTCTTTATTTATAATTAATTGGTTATTCTTTATTTCTTTAATTCTTTACTTTTATTTTTAGTTGATCCTTAACCTTATGCCCTTATTGTACTATGTGAGTTAATAGTACTCTTATACCAAGACGATTATTAATGATTTTAACTAATTTTCTCTTTATACAGTTTACAGTCTTCCTTATTATGTCTTGTTCCTTAAGTTCTCTTTTTCTAAAGTCATTCTTATTATAACCTTTTTTCTTTTTTTCTTAAATTCGTCATGGTTATACTTTCTGCTTGTTTTCTTTTTTTTATAACTTCGTTTTTTCCGCTTATCTATCATTATGCGGTAATTTCCTAGTATACGATTTTTGGACCCCCCCCCCCCTCCTATCAATTTTGTACATG